CTTTTCACCACATCCTCTCCAGCATCTGTTATTTTTTGAGTTATTGATAATGGTCATTCTGACTGGAGTTAGGTGGTATCTCAGTGTAATTTTAATTTGCATCTTCTTAATGACTAGTGAGGTTGAACATTTCTTCATGTATCTGTTGGCTGCTTGTATGTCTTCTTTTGAGAAGTATCTGTATAGCCTCCACCACCCACCACTGGGGAGAGGAAAACCTATTCAGTAAATGGTGGTGGGAAAACTGGCTGACCACATGCAGAAGATTCAGACAGGACCCCTATCTATCCCCATACACAAAGATTAACTCTAAATGGATCAGAGACCTAAATGTAAAACCTCAAACCATAAGAACTTTAGAAAATGCAGGACACACCCTTATGGAAGTTGGAACTGGCATCCAATTCCTGAGCAAAACCTGAAACGCACGGGCCATAAGAGATAAGATATACAAGTGGGACCTCATTAAACTGACAAGCTTCTGCAAAGCCAAAGAAACCATCAAGAGAGCAGGGAGACAGCCCACAGACTGGGAAAAAGTATTTGCCAACTCCAGGTCTGACAAAGGCCTAACATTTAGGATCTACAAGGAACTCAAATGTGCTGAAAAGAAACAAAACAAACAACCCCATTACAAAGTAGGCAAAGATATTGTGTATTTCACAATAGCCAGAGGAGAGGGCCTGAAATGTGCCCAACACAAATAAATGACACATATTTACGGTGATCGACACCCCAATTACCTGGTCATTACACACTGCATGCTTGAATCAAAATACCACAGGTACCCCATAAACAAGTAGAATTATTATGAATCAATTATAAAAAAAGATGAACAAAACAGTCTCTGTGTCCCAGAAGCTCACAAGGAGCTAGGGAGAAGTGAGGTAGACAGACACTGGGAACACCAGGAAAACCTAGAGGTCCCGGCACGCTAAGTGACACAAGAGACACAACCAGCTACAAACAGGCAGTTCCACGAGCAAAGCTGAGATTCAAGGGAGACATGGCGGCACCTGCACTGACATTTCCTGATGCGCATTACCGTCATTAACAAGCAATAGACTCCAGCTGGGCATGGTGGCTCATACCTGCAGTCCCAGCACTTTGGGAGGCAGAGGTGAGAGGACCGACTGAACCTAGGGTTTCAAGACCAGCCTGGGCAACTTGGCGAGACCTCATCTCTACAATAATTCAAAAAAGGAGCCAGGCATAGTGGCTCGTGCATGTAGTCCCAGTTACTTGGAAGGTTGAGGTGGAAGGATCACCTGAGCCCAGCAGGTAGGGACTGTGGTAGTTGTGAGTGTGCCACTGCACACTAGCCTGGGTAACAGAGACTCTGACTCAAAATAAACAAATAAAAGCATTATACAACAAGGTGTTCTCCACATGCCACACTTGCAAAGTACAGTTAAAAAGTCCTACGATTTGGGTATTGGGAACAGGATGGATCAACAATGTCATACATTTTAGTCTCTGCTGCTATATTTCATGAGCATGTTTTTACTTTTTGTTCTACATGAACCTCTGTAATAATCTGGCCAAGTCTCAGTGAAGCCACATCAGAGTAAGTCGTACAGTGGCCTCATTTGTCACAAGTCATGAGTTTTGGTTCTTAAACCAGACGGGCACTATAAGGAGTTTTCCAATGTCAATCTTCCACTGACTAATCAAAATTGAGTATGTTAAAATAAAAATTCTGGGGTCTTATTTTTCATTTAGGGAGTGATACAGAGTCATGCGCCATGTAATGACATTTTAGTCAATGATGGACCACGTATATAGTAGTGGTCTCTAAGATCATAATATGGTTTGGCACTACTGACTAACAAAGATTTTCATATGTACTATATTTTTACTGTACTTTCTATGTTTATTTTTTATTTCTTATTTTTTCTTTCTATGTTTAGATACACAGATACTTACCATTGTGTTGCAACTGCCTAGGGTATCAGTGCAGGAACATGCTGGACAGGTTTGTAGCCTATGGGCCACAGGCTAGACCACAGCCCCAGTGTGGCCGGTCAGGCCTTCTAGGTGTGTGTATATGGACACTATGATGTTTGCACACAACGAAATCACCTAAGGATGCATTTCTCAGAACAGGTCCCAGTTGTTAAAGCAATGCACGACTATAAAAACGTAAATGTTCTCTGGAAGTGAAAGAGTTTAGTAAATTATGGCATATCTAAATTGTGGACCACTATATGGCTACTTAAAAGGATATCTACGAAGTGGGTTATAGGACAGTAACATGCTTACTTAAGTACAAACAGGATAGAAAAGTCTACATGAAATTAAACACCCTCTCAAAAGAAGTATGCCATTTAACAAAAAGAAAAACTGAATGGAAAATAAAAATGACATGCTGTGTACTGTAAGTACATACAATTTATACTTGTCAAGTATACTTCAATAAAGCTGAGGGGAAAATTAAAAAGTAAATAAACACACTGGAAAAAAAGTAAGTATACACAAACTTACCAAGTAGCAAGCAGAAATTTGGGAATGTTTTATCTTTCTTTTATTCTCCATAATTAATATTCTTTCCTTTATAAATAAAATGTATTACTTAAGAAGTCAGCCGGGCTTGGTGGCTCAGCCTATAATCCCGTGCCTTTGGGAGGCTGAAATGAGTGGATTGCCTGAGCCCGCGGGTTTGAGACCCGTCTGGGTGGCGAGACCTCATCTCTACAATAAATCAAAACATCAGCTGGGCGTGGTAGCACATGCCTGTAATTCCGGCTACTTGGAAGGCTGAGGTGGAAGGATCGCTGGAGCCTAGCAGGTCGAGGCTGCGGTGGCCAGGAGCAGCCACTGCACTCCAGTCTGGGCGACAGAGTGAGACTCCAACTCAAAAAAAAAAGAAGTCATAAACATTTTTTTTCAGAAAGAAACATTTTCACTGTATCAGTCTGATAGGGCCTTAAAATTCTTTTTCTTTTTCTTTTTTTAAGTGAGAAAGCAGGATTTACTGAGGACAGACAAGCTCCCACAGTGGGAGGGGGCCCAAAGGGATTGCCCCCTCACTTATTTTTTGAGTAGGGTTCTGACTCTGTCACCCAGGCTGGATTGCAGTAGCATAATCACAGTTCACTGCAGCCTAGACCTCCTGGGCTCAGGTGATCCTTTCACTACAGCCTCCCAAGTAGCTGGGACTATGCATGTGCCACCATGCTTTGCCTTATTTTTAAAAATTTTTTTGTATAGACCAGTTCTTGCTATATTGCCCAGGTTTCTCAAACTCCTGGGCTCAAGCAATCCTTTTATCTCAGCCTCCCAAAGTGCTGGGCTTACAGACATGAGCCACCATACCTGGCCTTACATTTTTTTCCTCATGAACTTTTTTCCTGACATTATATGCCTTTTAAAGTATTCATATTCTCATTTCCCAAATCTATCTTCAGTAATTATATCACAACACATATGTTTATTTTTAAGATTTAAATAAAAAGGAAATACTTACTCCAGATTTTACTCAGCATCTCAGAGGGCTTTGTAAACTGAATGATATCACATTCCTTGATGAGTTTAGTTATCAGCGTAAGAAAACTAAACAGAAGGCGATCTGCAGCTTTTTCCTCTGTCGCTTCTATGATCTAAAAACAAGATGGATACGAATGAATAAAACGCCAAGTTGCATGTGTGTGGTGGGCACTTTCCCTCCAGCACATCCACCCACAGCTTCTCAGCCCCGCACTCCTGCTCCCTGGGCCTGACGACCCCTGTGGGACTGACAAGTGCACGGGAGGGTATTTAGCAGCATCGGGGCCTCTGCCCTCCAGATGTGACAACCAAAATGTCTCCAGACACCGCAAAATGTCCCTGGGGACCAGACCATCCCCAGTGAGAAACTTCAATCTTCATACACTATTGAAGATAACTTACTTTAATCTTCATTTTAAAAGAAGTTCCAAATGCACTGCATCCCTGCTTTTACTGATAAGCAATATTTATCGAACACAAATAATTTTTAATTTATCAACTAGCCCACCTTGAGTAAAGCCGTAAAAGTCTTATTCCCTAGCAAATTACTTACATCTTGGAAGTTTTCAGGATTGATTTCCTTTTCAACCACAGGAAGGACAGTCCCAAGTCTTCTCCCAAAGTCAACTCTTTCACTTTCCACAAATAGGCCACAGACCAGGGCAGCAAGCTGCCTGTTTATGCTCTACCAAAAACAAGCAACCACAAGGCAATGTCAGGAGCACGTGGAAAATGAAGGTGGGCATTATTTTGTCCTCAGTATTCGGAGACAATAAACATATGTCTTTCTGATGCCGCAAATCTATCGACACGGAGCTCTGATGGCCAACATACACCATGTGCTGAATCTTCACACCCGAGAGCAACAATCTAAAAAGTGGCATTTATTATTATCATTATCCTATGAGCACTTTAATGTGTTTTTTCCATTTTAAATTTAAACAAAAAGAAATGGAGAGAAGTCTCATCCTCACCCCCCACTCCACATTAAGTGGGTATTCAATGAGCTACTCATAAACCAAGGGCATGGTTGTTTATATCCACAAAGATAGCCAGTGATCCCAGGGCACAGTCAGCAAGTAGATACAATGATAAAAATCACATTCCAGAAATGGCATGAACAAAATGTGGAAACAAATCAAGAGGTGCTGGTTAAGTAAATTATGGTCCATTCATATTGTGAAGTACTTTACTAGCCATAATGTCACAGGAATACAGATAATTTTTATATTACCATCTATAACTTCATATGCTTTAAGAATACATTATTTGCATAATCAGATAAAAATAAAGCATTTGGGGAAACTAATTCAGTAATGTACAATATGCTTTGTTATTTAAAGTATGAACACCAGAAGCTAAGACTTCTCACTGAACTATGACTAAAGCAATGCCTACCTTTTTTGCAGCAAACCAGGTGGTAACCATCTCAAACAGCCAATCTTTCTTCTCGAGGCTGATTTTATTGAGTAGGGATTTGATTGCCATGGATGCCATCTTTTTGCACATGGCAGAGTCATCATTCACCATCATTAGACAAAGAGGAATAAAGAACATTCCACAGTTCTCATGGAGCAGTCCCTAAAAAAGGATTTGTGAACACACTTAGAATGGGATTCCCATAGAAGCTCCAGCAAATGAGGGCTGAGGGATTTTAGGCTCATGGGAAAATGACTGAGGAGCTTGTGTGGGATCACAGTACCTGAGGAAACGCGTCAAAGAGATAGGCGATCATTTCCAGGGCGGATTCTCTCCCAGTCTCATGCTCATAACTAGGGCAAGGACATTAGATGGGCTTGTTAGTACCTTCTAAATTACCAGTAATTATTTTAAATTTTGAGACTGTATCAAGGTGTCAGTCTTCTTAAAAAATGAAAAATGCTCTGTTTCCCCAATTTTAATGCCTGTACATATTCATTAAGCTTACGTTCAGATGTAAATATAATTTGTCAGATTTTCAACATTCTTCTACGTGAACTCTTAGGACACTCAAGAGTCAGACTAAATTGAAAAGCAACTCACAGAATTGCTGTATGAAGACAAGCAGTGTCCGATAACCAAGTCACTGAGAGAGACACTATGTCCAGGCCTCATCCTTCTCAAGATAGCCACTGTTTTAAATGGAAAGAAGAAACTACCCTTCACCCCTGCAGAGGTAATGGCTTAAGCTTACTTCAGTTGAGCGAGCATGAATTCCAAGTTTGGTCTCAATTTGTCACCCAGAGGATAGTCAAGAATGTATTTCAGAAAAACCTAGGAACAAAAGTCACACAGATGATTATGTGGGTCCTGTCTCCAGGACTGCTGGTTCCTAAGCTGCTTTCTGGGACATGCTGGTAGGTCATAAAAACCCTTCAGAAGGGCAGTCAGTCAGGCTTTCCAGTGGATTCCGGCAAAGTCTGCCTAAGTCAACAACAACTCTGACACTTTTTCTCCCACATTGTGTATGCAGGTCCTGCCCTACGAGCCTGACGGCATCAAGTCCTGGCCCACCACTGGCATGGTTGTTTAAGACTCCAAATCTGAGCCCGCATGTTGAAAGCTGATCTCTCTGTGACAGGTGGTGCAGTAGACTGAGTATGGACTGTGGTTCAGCCTGTATCTCCCCTCGAACAAGAATAACAATATGTCTCTCAGTTATATCTCATCATCCCCTTAGAAAGTATGTGACAATAAACCTATTCTACAGTTGAAGAGAAGGCTGGGCATGGTGGCTCATGCCTATAATCCCAGGACTTTGGGAGGCCCTAGCAGGAGGACTGCTTAAAGTCCGGGATTTGAAACTGGCCTGGGTGTCACAGCAAGATCATGTCTCTATAATCACAATCATAATCATAACCACAATAGTAATACATTTTTTAAAAACACAGTTGAAGACAATGATGTTGGTTCAGAGAGAGTAAGTAACTCGCTCATGTGACAACACCACATTCCATGCCTAGTGTATGTCTAAGGCTGCGCTTTCAGACTATAACAGCATTCTGCCTCCTTTATTAAGAAACTGTGAGAGCCAAGGGACATCATAAACTTTCCAAGGCCTGCTTTCTCCCTAGTGAAACAGAAATATGTTTCTTGTGGAGGCTGTTACTCAACAGAGGGAATGTGTGTCAAGCACTAAGCACATGCTCCTTCCTCCTATTTCTAACGCTGAGCTTGTGTCTCCAGTTCAGACCTCTCCACTTCTCGAGTACCATCTGTACCTCAGATCAGGGAAGGCCAAACATGTACACAACTCTGATTCAGTTATTGTTCTGCCTCAGAGTTTCAACAGCTCCTCACTACACTTAGGACAAAGACCCAAGTCTTCAATAAGACCACAAGGAGCTGCCTAACCTGCTACCACTTGCATCTATTCCCCTGCACAGAGCTCCTGACTAGCCAAGCTCTCCAAGCTCTCACCAAGAAGGCCATGCCCTATTCTCCCTTCACACTGTGGCTCATCTGTTCACCCCCAGGAAAGCCTTCCCTGACGGAGTCGCAGATGCCCGAGTCTCATTGTAAAGCAACAACACAACACGAAGTCATCTTCAAAATTCAGCCAGTGCTGACATCTCTGCCACAGGCATGGCATGGACCCCTTGGCAGGGGAGCAGTTCTCTCTACAAACCTGTCTGCACTGGACTCTGGCAGGCTCATTTTGTGCAGAAATGGCCAGCTTGGATACTTTCCGCATGATATCATCGATTTCTGGGACCAACAACTTCCTTGATAAAATAGCCTAAAATATGAAGGAAAAGACAAGCTCATTTCACGTGTTTCATTGCAGATGGGTGGAAGCAGACTCGATGTTAAAGCAGTTGTGGGCACTTTTCAAAGATATGAAAGTATCCTCAAAGGAAAATAAACATACACTCATACATATATTTAAAACATAAAGAACATGCAAGCACTTAAAAGGGTTAAAATGGTGATTTTTTTCCTTTAAAATGATGAATTTTATGTTATATATATTTTACCACATTAAGAAAAATCAGCACTGTCATGTGATAAATAAAAAAAGTACCTGTATTTATACAGAATCCCCAGGAAATGTAACTGTTATGCTCATGTTTAAACATTTTCATAAGTAGATGCGTTAATTTGTAACTGGCTCACCAAAATCATAATAGTCTTGATAAATTACTGAATTTCAGAAGTCTAGAGCTACTCAAAACACTATGCCCCTCTTAATATATGCTGTGAAGTTGGTCAGCTGTAACAGCCAACAATGGTGACAGCATACCTTCAGAAGACCAAACGCTGTGGCTTGTCTTGAAGTATCATAGATGTCCTCCTCAGCATATGCCAGTAAAACCTGGAGCTGTTTTTCAGTTATCTGGTAAGCCTTGACTTTCTTGACAAGTATGGTCACACACTGCAAGGTACAAATGAAGTTAGAAGCCAGCACATCCCATGAATTCACTTCCCAAATGAAGCTGAAAGCCCACCCATCAGGATCCGTGATGTGACAAGCACGAAATACAGCCCACAGCTGTCCCTTTCCACACAGGAGGCCAGCCCGCCAGTCTCAAGTCTTGACCAACACTCCCAACTCTGATGTTAATCCTGGCCCTGGCTTCCTCTAAGGGCACGAGAAGACGTCTCACCTTGAAACAATTGACCACCAGGTGGAAGTTCTGGCCCCTGGCAGCCCCGAGCTTTGCATAGTCCTTCAGCAGAAGGAAGAGGTGCTTCGTCAGCTGTTCTGCTTTTGCTTCGATGGAAGGCAGAGGGAACTTCAAGACCCAGATCAGGCACTGTAAGGCACCTGTGATCACCTGGAAACATGACCACACACAACCAGCATGCCACCAAGTCCAGCAATCCCGCACCCGAGGCTATGCAGACTCTACAGATCCCTGAGTTGAATAAGTAAGAAGCTGTGCCCAGGCCAATCTGAAAGTTGCATCTGAAGTGTAAAGATGCTTCCCACACCCCTGCTGTGGAACTTAACGCTTAGCCTTAGCAATGAAGGTAGACCAAAGCAAATCCAAAGGACTTCACGTACTTTGACCCACATGGGGCTAATGATTTGGGTGATTGACCAATTTTATGGTTTTGGAAAATTCTTTTCTACTTTCTAGAATGCTACGTCAATGCAATCTACTCTTACTAAACTTATATTATGTATACAAGGCACTCCACTGAGTATTATACATACAAAGATAAAAAGGACACCATCTCTGCACTTAAGCAAAAGATAACTAGCTCAGAAATTAAACATGAAACCAATTAACTATCATTTAATTTAATATAGTTAAGTGCTATGTAGCAGATATGGAAAAAGTATGTGGAACCGAGTGATTCATCTGGGAGATCACGGGGCTCTGTCAGCTGAGCTCGGACACAACCCTTCCTGCTCTGCTCCTGGCAGGTCTTCACTGGGCTGGATTAGATGAAGACATACAAGGAGGAGCCTGGGAATCAGAAAGGTCTGGGCTTATACCCCAGCTTGGAGACGCATGCTGTTAGACTCTAGAGATGTCACCGAACCTCTCAGCACCTTCACTGACAGGCAGGTAACTGGGAGATGTGTGGGCATTGGAGCCCAACAGGCCTAGGTTCACATCCTAGATCTGAGCCTGGCCCAGGTCCTCGTGTTCTCATCTATAAAACAAGAAAATTAAGAATAGATGCATGGCCGGGCTCGGTGGCTCAGCCTATAATCCCGCACCTTTGGGAGGCTGAGGTGAGTGGATTGCCTGAGCCCGCGAGTTCAAGACCCGCCTGGGCAGCGAGACCTCATCTCTACAATAAATTAAAAAAATCAGCCAGGCATGGTAGCGCATGCCTGTAATTCTGGCTACTTGGAAGGCTGAGGCGGAAGGATCGCCGGAGCCCAGCAGGTCGAGGCTGCGGTGGCCGGGAGCAGCCACTGCACTCCAGTCTGGGTGACAGAGTGAGACTCCAACTCAAAAAAAAAAAAAAAAGAAAAAAGAATAGATGCTGCCGGGATTGTTGTCAGGATTAGAGAGAGCATCTTTAGGATTCATAGCACAAAGCAGTAGCAGTGACATGGTGACTGTGACAATGAGGATGATGTTGGGTCTGGGGACACCACTCACCCCCATGGAGTTGTTGTGAGGATCCAATGAAAGTATTTACCCAGAAGAGGTTTCAAAACTGTTAGAGACAGAGTTGTTAAATGGGAAGCAATTTACTGGAGGCAATACTGGTCATTCGAGAGGTCAAAAATCCCTTTAAAAACACAGTCACCTCAGGAAGCGTGAGCCTAGGGGTAAGTTCCAGGCATTCCTCCTGTGAAGGCTCCAAAACAACTGCAAACGAGGCTCACCTTCACATCCATGGAAGCCAGGCAGTCTACGAGGAGAGGCACAAAGGGATCCAGCATTTCCAGGGCTCCTTCGCTTGAGGACTTGACCTTTGACGTCTTCAGGCTCAGATGCAGCAGCTCAAAGGTTTGAAAATGACATGTTACATCAGTTACCCATAAGAGATGAGTTAGACAAACGTGACACGATTTTAAAAGACACACAAGAAATGTTCAGATACTTCTACTTAACGTGATAACTATTCCTAAGACATAACACACAACCTAGGAGGGTCTCGTAGGTCAAGAAGGTGGATGTCACAGGCAGCTGAGCTGCCAAGTTCATTTCCTCAATATCTTCTTCAATCCAGGCATGGGCTCAGTATGAAGGACACAGCAAGGACCGAGACAGACACAGTTGCTGTCTTGATTGCTCTTAGCCCGGAAGACAGACTTCAAGAAAATGAAGTATAAATGCAGGATGCCTGGAGAGTTTTTTAGGGATCTGACAAAGGGAAGAGTGGGTGTGAGATTCCAGGCAGGAGAGTGTGCCGTCTCTCTAGATGGGAAACCAGCACAGTGGGAATGTGTGTTGGAGTGGTATTCTATGAGGTCAGGACCCTGATGCCCAAATGAACAGTTGGGTGCTCCCCTGGGGAAAACGGGAGTCGATGAAGGGTTTTAAAAAGGAAAATGCTCAGATGTGTGTTTGTAAAAGCTCATCATCTTTTAAAACAACTCAAAGTATTTTAGAGGTGCTCATGGGCAAAGCAACAGTAAACCCTAATAAATATTAGGTTAGAATCATTAATTCTGGGACAGTTACAGCATCAAAGTACCGGGTGAGATAACTGGCGAATGAACCAATGCACCTTAAACAACAGCTCTAATTGATTGACAGTAAGGCATGTTCAGTGAAAGGGAGCAGTCCTGGAAATCCAGCAGGACAGAAAGGGGGCCTCCCCGAAGGCAAGTCTCATTTTAAGATTATTATTATTTTTTTTTTAGGCTGCAGGATTTATTGAGAGGACAGAAAAGCTCCCACAGTGGGAGGGGACCCGAAGGGGTTGCCCCAAGAATAATTCTTACCCGAAGCCCAGACTCAATGAATATGTGCATGTTGGTTTTCCTGCTCACAACAGCTTTCTGCCCACCTCGAACTGGAGCTGGGGGAAGCAGAAGGCAGCTCTGGGGTGGCAGCCGTGGATCTGGTGCTGGGGTGGCTGGATTTCTGTCAATCACAAGAAACAAAAACAGGGAAAAGCACACTATCAGTTGCACTCCAAAACATGACTGTGGCCCTCCAAGGTCATGAGGGGCCAGCACTACATAATGTGCTATTTCCTCTGGCGTTTCCCTCATAACCATAAGGCACAGAAGAGGTGATTAGGTTACTGACCCAGGCTACTAGGACAACCCTCAGAAACAGAGTTCAGACTGAAGAACTCACAGTCAAGCAAAGATGAACAGCAAGCACACTGTGCTTGATTCTGAAAACACACTCCAAGGAGTCACACTTAGACCACAGAAGCAAAATGCAAAGGAAGTTCACTAATATATGCGGCATTTTAAGATCTTTTCAGGTCTAAATCTGATTAATCAGAATAAGAGATATACACTTAAAACCTATCCTCACTGTGGTTCAATAAATATTTAAAACAAAATGGCAAAATAACTGGCTGCTGTCACAGGCATCTCTTTCATAAGAAAACAGCCTCACGTCAAAACACATTACACCACCAAGCAGTGCCATCTTGTAACTCAGGTGAACACGCACACATACACACACACTTATTTTTCACTACAGCAAATTATTAAAACAACCCACTGAATGGCTTATCAGAAACAAGCACCTAAAAGATAGTTTATTTATTTATTTATTTTGAAACTTACTTTTCCTTCTCTGTTAACAGGGGAAGGTTTTCACTGACCAAGCCATAACAGAGTAGTAGAATGGATTCTGCTGCCATGTCCTGATTCACAATCAAGCCGGCTGTGATTCGGCGTAAGGTTTCGTGAACTTTCCGGGCCAGTTTTGCACTCGTGGTATTTTGTAAGATCTAAAGGCAAACATGCATGCCACACTGAGATAACACAGAACTGCATTTTGATTTGTTGTGGTACTTTTCTTGTATGTATTTGCTTTATAATGTATTTTGGTTTTTCTAATTAAAAAATGTTCCTAATAAAATTTCTTTCTTTTTTTTTTTAATTTTTTTGAGTTGGAGTCTCACTCCGTGGCCCTGACTGGAGTGCAGTGGCATACTCTTGGCCTCTGCAGCCTTGACCTTCTGGGCTTCGGCAATCGTTCTGCCTCAGTCTTCCAAGTAGCTGGAACTACAGGCACGCGCTATCGTGCTCAGCTAATTTTTGATTGATTTGTAGAGATGAGGTATCACCAACTTGCCCAGGCGGGTATCGAACCCGCGGGCTCAGGCAATCCACTCACCTCAGCCTCCCAAAGCACTGGGATTACAGGCTGAGCTACCAAGCCCAGACCCTAATACAATTTCAAACACAGATATGGCATATAAATTAAAAGCAATCACACTCTCAACCCGAGGCAGCCACTGTGCACAGACTGTATGCCACTGGGTTCTTCCTCCTGCCCTGCTCTCTGCTAACGAAGCCCTCCCCGACCTCCAGGTACAAGAGAAGGGGTGACTTCAGCAAAATGTATAGTTAAGACTTATAGGAAACCCTAGAAAGAAGCAACACATGGCCACACTTCAGTGTTTGACATCAGTTTGAGCCAAATCAGAGGAACTTCATGGGCACCTGAGGTCATCAGCCTCACAAAACACTCAGCCTTCCCAGCTATTATCTCATGTAAGTCGTCGCATTAATGACTACATCCCTTTGAGGGACTTCATGGAACACAGCACAGGTGTCTGTGCTCTACTGACCCAGGTTCACCCTCAAAGCATGTCTAATGCTCTCAGATCAGGCTCAGATAAAGCTAAAGACATTCTAGGAATAGTTATAGACTTGGAATTAGAGTAATTCATGTCATGACAGCGCTTACTGCTCTAGTTTCAGTAAATAAAACTATGACAAAATGAATGAATACATGTATTGAATGTTCACCCCTGCAAGAGGCACAGGAAACAAGAGGAAGGTGGGTCACCCACAGTCCCTGGTCGCTAGGAGGCAGAATAAACCAAGGAAGGATGTGAGCTTTGGATCAGAGAGATCGCAAATAAACCCTAGCTTTCCTCCTTAACTGTGTTCCTTCCTACCTTCCCAAGCCCGGACTGTCTTTTCTGAAAAATGGAAGGACCATCGGTCTCATAGGGTGGTTGTGCAGATAAGAAGAGAGAACGTATCAGTGCTTGGAATATAACGGGTTAGTGAATGTCAGTCTGCTTCCTCTGGGCAATACGGGCGGCAGTCTGTGGCCAAAGGCTTTCCAATATGTGTGGATTTTGTATTGTTTATTGTCATGAAGGCCAGTATACAGTTGCACAAATATGTGAATTACAATATACCCTCATAACCTCTTTTATTCTGCTTTGCATTGTTATTTATGGTTCTGCACATTCTGGCTCAGAAAGAACTTAACAGTCTTTGCAATGGAGTCTGCTAATGTGTTCTCTCTTCATATTTGGATTACTTCCCCATCTCCATTCACATGTATCTGTTATAGTCCTTCTTCTTCTTTCTTTGAGTCAGGGGTCTCACTTGTCGCCCAGGCTGGAATACAGTGGCACAATCACGGCTCACTGCAGCCTAGACCTCCTGGGCTCAAGTGACCCCTCCACCTCAGCCTCCCGAGTAGCTGGGACGACAGACATGAGCCTCCACGTCTGGCTAAATTTTTTTCTTTCTCTAAAACTTCAGGGTGTTCGTGGGCAGGCTAGTTACAAAGGTGTCTTGCATGACAGTAAGTCATCAAACCTGTCACCCAAATGGTGAAGGTAGACACTACAGGTAGCTTTTTGAGCCTTGCTCCCCCCCTGCCCCCTCTTTAGGAGCCCCCAGTTTCTGTTCCCACCCTTATGGCCATCTATACTCAGGGTTTAGCTCCTACTTGTAAGTGGGAGCATGGTATTTGTTTTCTGTTCTGGGTTAATTTGCTTAGAATAATGGCCTCCAGCTGCACCCACGTTGCTGCAAAGACAGGATTTTGTTCTCTTTTAGTGGCGGCATCGTATTCCATGATGTATCTGTACCTTATTTCCCTTATCCAACCCACCACTGACGGGCACCTATGTTGGGTCCATATTTTGCTATTGTGAACAGTGCTGCAATGAACATACAAGTGCAGGTGTCTTTCCGGTAGAACAATGTATGCTCTCTTGGGTAGCGCCCAGTAGTGGGATTGCTGGATAGAACAGTAAATCTATTTTTAGATCTCTGTGAAATCTCCAGACTGCTCTCCACAGGTGCTGACCTATCTTACATTCCCACCAACAGTGTGTGAGCGCTCCCTTTTCTCTGCAACTTCACCAACATATTGTTTTTTGAATTATTGATCATAGCCAACCTGACTGGTATGAGACGGGTGTCTCATCAGGGTTTTGATTTGCGTTTCTCTGATGATTTGTGATGTTGAGGATGTTTTTCTAACTAAAAAGAGTTTCAAGTACTTTCATATATAATGTGCAAGTTCCTCCAGAGATAGCCACTGGGACAGCTTGAGAGCCTCTGGGTTTTCTCAGTGTTCCAGCGCTGACCCAGCAGGAAAGCACCAGCATTCAGTCACTGCTGCCTTTCCGCTCTCATCTGGTCGAGTCAGGGACCACGGCTCTCGGAGTAGTGTGCTCAACTCGGGGCTGCCACCTAGTGGCCATGGGGTGCCTACCGGGGCCCTCAGCACCAAAAGAAACCGCAGGTGATCAGGAATGCAGCGTCAGGGTTCCTCAGCAAAGCCCCATCAGGAACTCTGACAGGAGCGGTGGGATCTCCCGTGTGGCACTCAAGCCCTTACCTCTTTTAAGGGAAGGATGAGCCTCGTAACCTGGTCTTTTCCTACAAACTTGCCCAGGATCTCATAGGACTCGTAGCTCTTGCTTCTTCGCGCCTCCATGACTTTGGAGAGGATCTGCTTGACTTCCTTCTCTTCGGCAATGGCACCAAACAACTCCCGGTTAAAAATCTTGAAAGGAAAGAGACAAAGGACATGACGTGTGCTCAGCGAGATGCACCAACATAAGCAGTCACTGAGGAAAGGCACTGGTGCAGCCAGACCAAGGGAAAGCGAGCTGGACTGGACTGAAGCCAGACAGCAGGGTTTCCAGTCAGGTTTGCTTCAGCCTCTAAGAGCGTGTTATGTAAAATTAAACGAACGTGGAAGAGAACTGCACTTTTTTTTTAACTCACTAGTTTTTGATGTAATCTAGAGAACAAGCGCTAAAAAAAAACAAAAACAAAAACAAAGCAGAAACAAAACAAAAACACTTGAAGGTCAATATAACTGGAAACAAAAGAAAAATTCTTCACAGATGTACCTAACTGTTTAACCATACAGATAGGGTCTTATTTTTTGACATTATCAAAGAGTAGTTTAATTTCCCTCAAGGCATTCTCATGATATTTACAACTTAATTATCAAAATTAATGTAAATATTTAAATTGATTCAAAGTGTTAAGAGTCTACAGTTTTAAAAACATAAGGAAAACGTTGTGGACAAATTTATTCTCTTCTTAATCCTCGCCTTGAAATTAGCACATTATCCAATTTTAATTTTCCTATCTTTTGCAGAGACAGGGTCTCACTATGTTGCCCAGGCTGGTCTTGAACTCCTAGACTCAAGTAATTCTCCCATCTCAGTCTCCCAAAGTACTGGGATTATAGGCATGAGCCACCATGCCTGGCTAATTTTTCACTACATTATAAATAAAACCCCTAGTGAACATACTTTTATTCCTTTACCATAGACTCTCAGAAGTGACTGAAAATTTTTGCTTATTTCAAAAGCTCTTGAAATACAATTTTCTTTTCAGAAAGATTATACAGAGTTATGACCTACTAGCAATGACAGAGTGGCCTTCTCACTCTAGTCTTCACTTCTTAAACCTCTGCTAATCTAAAAGATGAAATACCACATGATTTTCATTTTTATAGGCTATTTTTATTTCTTATTTTGTGGACTGATTTTGTGCCCTTTGCTCACTAAAGAAAAAAAATGAATCCCTTTCCAAATCTTACCTCAATCAGTATATCCACACAAGAGTCCAAATCCCCGACGTGCAGCTTGCTGGTGAGGCCTTGCAGCAACTTGTGAACGGTGAACGTCAGCACGTGGACCTACAATGAGATGCACAGGGAGCATGAACAGTGAAGGATTCCATAGCGTGAGCGTATGAACCCCAGGAAGCCCTGCAGGGTGCAGCACCTAGAGCCTGTGTGTCCGTTACTGCCAGAAGAGCGTGGACAAATGACCACTCTCTACGATCCTTCCACTAAACGGGCACTTTGTACAAAAGATGTTCAGAAAAACATGACTGTGCTTAGGATCTCTGACTGTGACTAAGCCAGGCCAGTGATTTCTAAGAAAGGCACAAGAGTCTCAAATTTTAAAAAACCACCCTGTGAACTGAGGAACTGCCACTGTTGAATGTCATCGAAGCTGGTACATAAAATGTTATGAAGGAAACACGTTTTTACACCCTCTGACAACTAAGCTGCCATTTGCTGGGAGCTCAGGGTATTAGCACTCACGTGTATTAGATCGCCTCAGCCTCACCCATCCCATCGATGGAGCAGGTGCTACCCTCCCAGCAGTTTTTGGGTGAGGGCGGGGCTGAGGTGCCCAGAGGTCACGGGGAGGAGAGGGAGTCAGGGTGAGAAACAGACTAAGCTACACAGCCTCTCAAGCGTTTCATATTCTTTATGTTGCTTCCAGTCTGTTATGTCAAGGTAAATAGCAGGTAATGGTCAGAGGCTAAGGAAACACCTTAGTTCTTAATACACAGTCTTTATCTTAAAGGCATACTTTCATAGGCACCTACTTGAGATTTTTTAATTTAATTTTTTTTTTTTTTTTGAGTCAGAGTCTCACCCAGGTTGGAGTGCAGTGGCATACTCACAGCTACTGCAGTCTTGACTTTCTGGGCTCAGGTGATCCTTTCACCTCAGTCTTCCAAGTAGCTGGAACCACAGGAACATGCCACCATGCCTGGCCAATTTTTTGATTTATTATAAAGATGAGATCTTGCCAAGTTGCCCAGTCGGGTCTTGAACTCCTGGGCTCAGGCAGTCCTCTTACCTCTGCCTCCCAGAGTACTGGGATTACAAGTGTGAGCCACCACACCTGGCCATACCTGTGACTTTTAAGTTCTTCCATGTACAGATGGACCCTAACTTACAATGGTTCAATTTATGATTTTTTGACTTTACTTATTGGGGTTTACTAGGACAAAATCCCATTGTAAGTTTATTGGGACAACATCTCATCGTAAGTTAAGGAGCATCTGTATTTGAAATGTTTGCTGTGAACTTTACAAAGATACTTTTTTCGGGGGTGGGGAGCAGGGAGGTTGCTCTGTTGTCCAGGCTGGTCTCAAACTCCTGGGCTCAAATGACCCTTCCACTTCAGCTGCATGAGTAACTGGGACTACAGGCATGTGCCACCATACCTGGCTTTTACATAATTTTTGAAAATCCTCTTAGGGGACAGGGATGAAGAGTGACACTTGAATACAGTTTTGGTACAGTCTGCACGGTTAATACTAAAACTCAAATTACTTGTTCTCTACACCCTAGTTTAGTTATTTTAACAAATGATGGGATGGGCTTAAAGAACAGGTGGCTAGGGAGAAAAAACACTCCTCCTTTAAATACCCAGGCGTTTCATAACCCTCTCCTCATGTAACCTGAGGATCCTTGCCGGCAGTACATGTGGCTGCAGCGTTTACTCCAAGATTAAAAAGAGAGAGAGAATTACAAAATTCATTAATTCTCTTCTTCTTCTTTTTTGTTGTTGCAATTCTCATTAGGACTAGAGACAAGTTCTGTTTAGAAATAACACCAAGGACACTTTTTTATATTGTATTTCCACACTGAATACCAGTCAGATTTGCTTCAGCCTCAAAGAGCATGTCTATGTAAAATTAAATGAATGCAGCAGTGAGCTGCACTTTTTATATTCTGAATGGGTAAAGGGCTAAAAATGTGTGCATGGGTCCTGAAGGCCAGAGCCATGCTGTACTTGCCCTCGACGCCCACTGCCCAACCCCGCTGCCGCTGTGGGAGTGGCAGCAGTGGCTTGGATGAGGGGACTGGGGGGAGCCACGACTCTGGGTGTGGCAGCAGCAGTGCCGAGGGTAGGGCGTACTCTGGTGGCTTTTCTCGGTCCTGCTGCTGCCTGGTGGGCCCCTGACCTGGGCACAGTTGCGGGAAGTGCATGGTAAAGTGAGACGAATCAAGCCCATTTTCTAGATGAAAGACTGAAACCAACAGAAAAATAAAGTGTCAGCAAAGAAACAAAAGATCATGATCTAAATGGTACTTTTAGAACTGACAATCCATCAACTGAAACGAGAAATCCACTGGATTTCCAATAGCAGAGGGACAGGAAAGAGGAGGAGCCAGTGAGCCTGCAGACAGACTGAAACAATTATCCAATGTCAACAACAGAAAAAAATATATGAACAGAGTCTTGGACCTGTGGGAAAAAATGAAAGGTCTAATATTCGTTTCACCAAAGCCCCAGGGAAGGAGGGCAGTGAGGAAATGTACTTCAAGGAGTTTTGGCTAGAAACTCCTCAATTTGGTCAAGAAGCTCAGCAAATCCCCAAAAGGATAAATCCAAAGAAATCCACACATAGACACAGCATGATCAAACTGCTGAAAATAAAAACAAAGAAAAAGTCTTTAAAGCAGCCAGAGAAAAACAGCACATTACTTAGGGAGACAACATATTGAGTAACTCATCAGCCAAGTGGGAAGGGTTCCTTTTGTAGCTCCTAAACATGATGACTGGGTTTTCACACTCATGTGAGAGGTGTCTCCCTCAAACCTTGCTACGACATTGGCATGTTACCAGTCTGATGTGGGGAAAAAAGAAAGGCTACAAGGAAACATCTAGGAAAGGACTGACTGTCAGTGCAGAATGATAGACCCAGCAACAAAATGCATCAGGAGTGAAGGTGAAAGAAAGGCATTCACAGATGGAAAGAAGCTGAGAGACTCTTGCTGCCACGGCTGTTCTCCAAGGCAGCTCAATGAAGACCTGAGCCTACAGCAAAATGACAGAAAGAAACATGGACATTCAGAAATGAAGACAGACCAGCAAAAATGTTAAAGATCTGGGTAAAATATTAAACCACTCTTCTCCTCTTGAGTTCATTATCAAATGTTTGACAAGACTGGGCACAGTGGCTCATGCCTGTAATCTTAGCACTTTGGGAGGCCAAGGTGGGAGGACTGCTTGAGCCCGGGTACTCAAGACCAGCTTGGGCAACATAGAGAAACCTTGTCCTGAAATAAAAATCAAAAAATTAGCTGGGCGTGGTGGTGTGTGTGCCTGTCTACTCATGTTGCTGAGGTAGAAGGATCGCCTGAGCCTGGGAGGTTGAGGATGCGGTAAGCCGTGATTGTTGTGATTAGGCCACAGCTGGAGTGACAGAGTGAGACCCTGACTCAAAACAAACAAACAAAAAATATATCTGAGAATTATAAGTAAACATGCTGCCTAATGTTTTCCATATATGGAGATGTTGATACATAAATAGCTCTGACACAAGGGGGAGGTTATAAGGTCCACAGCCCACTTGACATGGTAAATACTGATCCTCAGGACTGTTAAAAGTTAAGTAAGCTTATGGCAATATCCAGAGCAACCACTAAAAAACCATATGAAGTGGATGAATAAGGACATTGTGAATGTGTGACATTATAAGCTGTGGAACAGGAACTTACTGTCAGCAAACCATGATATACAAGGTAGAGGCGGACTAGCAGGAGTCTTGGCTGCATACTTGAGAAGAAGAGTTGCAGTACTCCCATCCTGTAACCCACCCAGGATCCTATGAAAATGCAGTGTCTTTGGCCAGGTATAGGTCCCTGAATCCTGCATTTCTAACAAGCTCCCAGGTGTTGCTGACACTGCATGTCCAGGGTCCATCCTTGGAGCAGCAAGGGGTTGGGTAATGTGTGACCTTCAGAGTGTTTGTATTCTGCTTGGCAATAACTCTTTTGTTTTATGTTTCAAATCCTAAACAAATATGTGTGTTCTTTATTATCCACATCTGTGGCAATACACTCAACAAAAATTTTATTATGAGCACAGAGACTATAAAACTTGATATCAGGGCCAGGCGTGGTGGTTCATGCCTGTAATCCCAGCACTATAGGAGGCTGAGGTGGGAGGACTGCTTGAGCTCAGGAGTTTAAGACCAGCCTGGTCAACATAGCAAGACCTCCTCTCTATTAAGAAAAAAATTAAAAATTTAGCTGTGCGTGGTGTCGGGTGCCTGTAGTCCCAGCTACTTGGGAGGCCGAAGTCATAGCGGCGAGCCGTGATCGTGCCATTGTACTCAAGACTGGTTGACAGAGACCCCCTACTCAAAAAAAAGAAAAAAAAAAGAAAGAAAAACACCAAATCCAACTTGATATCAAGTAACCCAGGCCTATAGGATCTTACAAAAAAACCCAAAATAGGAACTTTTAAATAATAGATTATTTATAATACTGAGTAGAAGCTTCTGGAAACTGCTGCTTGCATCTCAGTGGGTCAGCTTTACTAAAGAGAAGCCTGAGGAACCACAACTTATGGTTTTCAAGCAGCAAATAACTGAACTCCAATCCAACCTGCACATAAAGCACTTGATTTGAATTACCTGGTACCCACGGACGAGGGTTGTCTGCAATTCTTTTAAGACATACTGCAGGAAGTGCACACCCAGATCCTCTATGATTTTTGCAAGGGTGCTGCGGGCAATGTCTCTGATCTCCTGTGCTCTGTTCTTAAGGAGGGCACACACTTTCAGCAAAATACTAGAAAACAAGAAGTTGAAAAATGACGAAGCAAATAAAAATACAAATGCCCTTTTGTCATTCAGTTACCCATAACTCAAATGCCCCACTTAGGATTCTAAATCATGGCAAATATGACAGTATTTCTCCTCTTCCCAACAAAAGTGATGCCAAAGTCAGGAAGAAAAGACCCATTTTTGAGTTTCACGGGATGTTTCTAATTGTGGCACACACACCTTGGCAGATTGGCTTCCATAACTTCTGGTGGTAGGGACTGCATGAGTTTAACCATGGCAAAAGCTAAAGGAACTCGAACCACTTCCTCATCATTCACAACCTTGGACTTGATGAGCTTGTGTTCTTCCTCCCTTTTAGTCTGTAAGAAAAATTTAGGTTAAACAAACACAAAAACAAATGGATTAGAGACCAACCCAGCAATCTTGCATTTGAAAGATGAGCTCTTTTTGTAGACCATAAACCCACTTCTAAGTTTAGTGTCTTTAAAAACAAACTAAATTGTGCAATTTGAGAATAACTCTCTAAAAACTGTTCTACTTGCCAGGCATGGTGGCTCATGCCTGTAATCCCAACACTTTGGGAGTCTGAGGCAGGAGGACTACTTGAGCCCAGGAGTTCAAGACCAGCCTGGACAACAAAGTGAGACCTTATTTCTACAAAAAAATTTAAAAAGTGGCCAGACGTGGTAGTGCACACCTGTAGTCCAGCCACTTGGGAACCTGAGGCAGAAGGATTGCCTAAGCCTAGGAAGTCCAGGCTGTGGTGAGCCATGATCCTGCCAGTATTGTCCAGCCTGGTCAGCAGAGACCCTGGCTCAAAAATAAAGAATGTTTCCAAAGGGGCCATCAGAAAATAAGTAAGGCCAAATTTTGCTGATGTGGGTTAAGAGTACTGTGAAGTATAAAAAAGTCATATAAAATTTGTGTCAACTGGAGCTCTCAAGTTTTTGAGTGACATTATTGATTGGCATATAATGTATTACATCTAATAAAGGAGGCTTATTTATAAATATACAGAATGACCAAGTCAACATTTTATGGCAGGATTGACAAACCTTTTCTGTAAAGGGCCAGAGAGTATTTTTTGGCTTTCTGGTCTCAGTTGAAGTTACTCAACTCTGCAGTTGTGATGAAAATGCAGAATTAGACACTATGTAAATGAATGAGTGTAACTGTGTTCCCATAAAACTTTATTTACAGAAGGAGGCTGGGCCATAGTTTGCCGACCCGTGTTTTACAACTGAGAAGGCAAGGCAAGGTCTGGCTTCATGAGAATGCACTGCTAAACATCATCCCTGTTAACCTGGGGAAAGATGGATTTTGAATAACAGAGAATTGGCCAAGAAGCAGAAAAGAAACATATTCTAATTTTTAGTAACCTTTTTTTGGACACGGAGTCTCTTAGTGTCTATTTTGGAGGCAGAAAAGCACTTATCTGCCATGTCACAATCATAAAGAAGGAGTATTATGAAGGAAAATGAACTGAAGGGCTGAGACAAAAGAAATCCAAAGCTGAAATCAACCAGTTAATCATCAAGAACCTCAGTCTGACAGGGCCCCACTGGCACCCGAGCTCACTGGGCCCCAAGAATTATTACCGTAGATGCAAGGCATTTATGGAGTCTGGGAAGAATATCCCCAGTTATGGTTCCATGGATATTGTTAATTGTTCTCTCCAGCTCCTCCTTATTCCGAGGAAGGAAAGAGACAGCCTTGTTGAGGCACTCAGATTCCGTGGCTGACGGCCCTTCAGGAGCAGCTGCACCGGGGCTTCCCAGGTCTTCCTTGTCCAACAAACTCTTGTGTGCACTTTCCTCCTCTTCCTCATCCATGTGCTCTGAGTCCATGGCCTCATGCTCTGGCAACTCAATCACTTTGGTTGTGTCTATGTTTAAGAAGCAACAAAAGTCACCTTATCTCAAATAAGCAGACACCACAGCTGTGATAAGCACTCTTGTCCACTATCAGCCAGCTTCCTATAAAGTTGCCTAATCCCCAGCTATGGGCAGGCAGGCAAGCGCTGAGGAGAGAACAGCCAACGAGAGAGGGCTGGGGATTCTGCTTTTTCACAGCTTAGAGTCTAACAAGACAAAGTGTCCATTGCAAAAGAACATGGAGCAGCAAGCACAAGACAATTGGGGAAGACACCGGGCAGCTGAGACAGCTGAGACGCAAGAGGGCCTCAGGCAAGAGAAAGCTTGTAGAGTCCTGTGGCTGGAGGTTTCCAAGGCAGCCAACAGCCCGGATACAGACATTTCCTTTATGTTAGGATTCAGCTTATTGAAGGCAATTAGGTAGAATAGCATTGTGGGCCATGTCCAGACTTGGCTCAGCTAACAAACCATGTGACCACAGTCAGTTAACTTAACCCAAGTGGGCTTATGCTTCTTCACCAGTAAAACACAGATGGCACCCAGCCTGCAAGGCTATTATGAGGATTAAATGAGATAAAATCCATAATTTCCTGAAACATATTTCTGATACTTCACTGACTTTCAAACAGTGGTAGCTATTAGTTTTTAGTTCATTACTGGCAGTGTAGCTTTATAAAAGTTATTTTATGTCTCTGAACCTCAGTTTCTCAAACCAAAAATGTGGAGTAACTAGCTCGACGGCCTTTTTCTTTTCTTTTCTTTCTTTGAGTCAGGGTTGCACTCTGTTACCCAGGCTGGAGTATGCAGTGGCATGATCATGTCTACCCCCTGGGCTCAGGCAATCCTTTCACCTCAGCCTTCTAAGTAGCTGGAACTACAGGCATGAGCCACCATGACTGCCTGTTTTGTAGAGAAGAGGTCTCGGTATGTTCCCAAAGCTAGTCTTCAACTCGTGGCCTCAAGCAATTCTTACACCTAGGCCTCCCAAAGTGCTGGGATTACAGGCATAAGCCACCGCACACAACCTGGTTCTTAATGAGGACAAATGGCATAAGGTTTCTAAAAGCTCAGCTGATATAGGTGCTCACTAAATGTTTCAAACTTTATTGACCTCCTTGTCACTGGGTTTATTTTCCATCAAAAGACCACTGTCTTCTTTGACTCACCATCTCATTTTTGTTGACCACCTTTTACTAGCATGCAGAATAAAGAACTAGAAAATGAAAACTTTTGACTCGGCATCATTCAGAACTATAATTCCACGGTGCTCCTTTCTCCTCATCCTAAAGGACAATGCTCCACCCCAGCTTGGTCCAGCTCTAATTCAGGTTAACTTAGGGTACTGCTGGTAACTAGGAGGCGGGGGTTCTTGTTTGCACTGTAATGTAATGGATGTTCTTTCGCGATGCTTTGCCAACCATGAGGGAAAACGAAGGGAGAAGAGCTGTTTTAACAGGCAAAAGCCATATGGTTGTAAGTTGGTCATGAGTTTTGAGGTAGAGGATTTGTTTTATTTGATAACTGGAAATTACTAGTCCTCACCCAGATTGGAAGCCAAGGTCACCAATGCCTGGAATGCATAATTCCAGAGGTGAAATGAGTCTAATTGAAGGAAGGGAAGTATCCCTATTGACTTCCCTAGCGTTCCAAACACTGAGAACAGCTTGCAGGTAAGACTGGTAATCTGATACCCTCACTGGACAGAAGGTTAGACTTAATCACAACTGTGCCTCAGGTAAGATGTTAAAGAAAGATGTGTTTTAAAAAAATGAAAATGTTTATGAGTAGTAGTAGCAGTAGCTACCTTTGTTTTATTCTGGTTTTAAAGCAAAGGTTTGTGATTCTTTACCACTGGATATGATGTTGCAGTAGGTTTTTTAAAAACATTCTTCAACAAGTTAAGAAGATATCTATTCTTTGCTAAATAATCATTTAAATCATGAATGCATACTGAATTTAATCAAATGGCTTCCCTACATCTACCTAAACCATTGCATGTTTTTATACACTAATTTTTAAACTCTATTAAATAATTTTCCAGTATTGAGCCAACCCTGCATTCCTGGAATAAACCAAACACAGCCATGTCTGTTAATGCTTTCACTGACTGTGGAATTTGACGTGCAAATACATGGTTTAGAATTTGTACATCTCTCTTAATAAGTACAGTGTTTGTAACATTCCATTTTCCCAGTGTCAGTTTGTTGGTTTTGGATATGCAATTATACCAATTTTATGAGTTAGTGGGAGCCTCGTCTTTTTCAACCACCTGAAATAGCTGGTCTAAGGTTGAAACAATCAGTTCCTTGAATGTTTAATAAAACTCGCCTATAAGACATTCTGTGCCTGGCATTTTCATCAGATGATTAACTGCAGATTCAATTTCTTTAATGGTTAGAGATATATTTGGATTTTCTATATTTTTCTTGTTAGTTTTTGGATTATACTTTTCTAAGAATTTATACATCTTACCCAAGTATTAAAATTCATAAATACAAACATCATAATATTATTTTATCTTTTTCACTTAGTTCTGACATTTAAAAAATCCTAATATTGCTGATAATGCCCTTTATTTTTGTGAATCAATCTTATCAAGCATTTGCTAATTTATGGATCAATCTTATCAAGCATGTGCCAATTTATAATCTTTTCAAATCTCTATTTTTAGCTCTGTTGATCTTTTCTATTGTATTTATACTTCATTGATTGCTGCTCTAAGTTTTTACTATTTCTCTTCTTTGTTTTTGTTGCTTAATGTTCTTTCCACACAAAGAGATAATAAAATTGGATTTCTATGTAAATAATTTACAGCTCGGACTTTTTCACTAATTAATTTTGACCGGTCTTCTCTACAGTTAGAAAGTTTTACAAGAATACATAAACCAGTCAAATACAGTGGTTCATGCCTGTAATCCCAGCATTTGGGAGGCCAACACAGGAGGATGGCTTGAGACCAGAAGCTTAAGACCATCCTGGGCAACAGAGCAAGACCTTATCTCTACAAAACAAACAAACCCAACTTAATCCATTCATTTTAGCTTCCTTCTAACTCATTAACTAATCACTGCTACAAGAACAGAAGAAGGGAATAAGTTGAATTTTGCCATCGCTCAATCACTGTCATAAATTATCCAAAAATAAGATGAAAATCTAGTTTAGGAACATTTCAAAAACTTACTTTCTTCACTCTGCATTTTTCCCATTTGTTCTTCGAGAGTTTTGTGGTCAAAGTGAAATGCTTCTAATACTATCACTAGCAAACTGTTAAAAAAAAGTACACAGAAATGTTCGTTTGATTATCAATATCATTTGATTATTAGGAGAGGAAATTTAAAGACTTATAAACATTAAAGTTATTTTTATCAGTATTTTTGACCTCACCAAGCATTACTCAACCTCATTAACATAAAGTAAAAAAGTAAGTTGAGATTGTTGAAAGGCTAATTCAGGAAATAGTTTAAAAACAAAACAAAATAAGTAGTTTGACCATACCTGACACCCAACTTTTGATTGATCTGTCCTGTCTGTAAAACATGAATGAAATGCTTCAAGTAATAGACATATGCTGACCAGGAGAGATGCCTGCAAATGGCCCCAACAACCTCTGTAGCAGCAATAATTATGTTCTCATGCTGTGAAATAAATCAAGAGCATCAGTCAGAGTAGGCATTTGCTAACAAAATATAAGGCTAACTCAGTATATTAAAAAGCTTAGACATTAGGTGATCAGAAATTATAGAAAGGAGAACATATCCAAACTATCTGCCATTTATCCTCTCACCCCCAGCTCTAGGACAAGATGCTATCAGCTTAAAAGAATTACACCTTCCTTTAATGGATATTAATATATTTTGGACTCTTTTCCACTCAGGCTGCCCCGATGGGTACAAGACTACAGGCAGCAAATGAAGTAAATTCAATGTACAAAAGTGACATATGTCAAAAACTATGTACTGTACTGCTCAGCACTCAAAAGTACAATGTCTCTGAGAGAGCTTTTTCAGGCCACGATGGAACAGGAACTAGACTTACCTTCATACCTTAGACTAGAAAAGTACACAAAATAGATAAAACAGTAATTTTCAGACTTTGGACATCAAACAATACAGGACAGAAAGAAAATAAATGGAGTGAGCCATATAATTACCCCCAACTTAATGTGAGAGAACTGTCAGGTTGCAGCATAGGATGGGAAACAAAAAGAGCAGTGGTGTCCCTGAGTAAAGGAGGCAGAGTTGACGCTCTGGTGGCGAGAGTCCACAGGGCAGTGTGCCACAAAGGAGAGCCACACTGAGGAGATGCTGTTCAGAGCAAGCACCTTGTCTTCTGCTGAGTACTAGCAGTGGATGTCAGCAAGAAAGAGACAGGCAAAGACCTACCAAAGGGAACAGGCAAAACAACCATCAAAAACCGTATCAGGATGAGCATACAGTGAGTCCCCTGCATATGATACTTCAAGTTGTGAACTTTCAAAGACGCAAACGTGCATGTGCAATCATGTAAATTAGTTCATGTGTCTGATCTGGTGTACACTGTCACATACATGCATCCTCTACAAGTGGTTGTGCTTTTGTATACTTTACTTGTGTACTGTATAGAGTATACTAGTACAGTATCTTTATTTAAAGATACTTTATTTAAAGCCCAGGGTGTCTGGAAGCAAGTATAAAAGCAGCAGGGATGTAGCTGGTACTGCTAAGACGAACCATGTGACAATGATGGAAACAAAAGTGAAAATAATTGAGAGTGGAGGCAAAAAGATGGCAGACGTCACTTATCCTTATAATGTGAATCATTCAACCATCAGCACGATTCTAAAGAACAAGGACAAGATCAAGGAACATGTTAAGTCTGCTGTGCCAATGATGTTGACAATATCAAAGAAGCGTGGAAAAGTGATGGAGAAACGTCTCAGTGTGTAGATGGATCAGCATCAGTATCGAATCCCACTCAGCTTAATGCTGATTCAAGAGAATGCTAAAAGCCTTTATAAAGACTTGAAGAAACACAGCAAAGAATCAGAGGGTGCATCTCTTAATGCCAGCCATGGCTGGTTCCATCGGCTCAAGGGTGGAGCCAACCTTCACAATGTAAAAGTAAGTGGTGAGGCAGCGAATGCAGATACAGTAGCTGCTCAGGAATTTCCTAAAATGCTTTAAGAGATGATTGATAAAGGTGCTCATTTATCTGAGCAGGTTTTTAATGTGGATGAGACAGGACTGTACTGGAAGAGGATGCCAGGTCAAAGTTACATCAGTGAGGAGGAAAAACTGATGCCAGGCTATAAAGCAGCAAAGGACAGGCTGGCTCTGTTGTTTGGTGGCAATCGTCCTGAGAACCCAAGAGCTTCAAAACATAGCCAAGGGCTCTCTCCCTGTTGTGTGGAGGAGGAACTCCAAAGCCTGGGTTACACAAGCCATTTTCCAGGACTGGTTTTTCTACCAGCTAGAGAAATATTGCCTGGAGAAGAGAAGGACGTCACACTCAACAGTCCTTTGCTGCTTGACAATGCTCCAGGCCACCCCCATCTTGGACGACTTTCATTCCAACGTCCAAGTAGTACATCTGCCACCAAATATTATGTCACTCATCCAACCTATGGACCAGGGAGGTATAGCAACTTTTTCTTTTCTTTTCTTTTCTTCTTTTTTTTGGGTCAGGGTCTCACTTTGTTGTCTAAGCTAGAGTGTAGTGGCATGCTCATGGTTATGACAGCCGCGACCTGCTGGGCTCAGGCAATCCTCACTCCTTCTGCCTCAGCCTTTCAAGTACAGGCGTGCGCCAGCATGCCTGGCTAATTTTTTTTTTGATTGATTGTAGAGACAAGGTCTCGCCAAGTTGACCAGGCTAGTTTTGAACTCCTAAGCTCAGGCAATCCTCTCTCCTCCACCTCCCAAAGTGCTGGGATTACAAGTGTGAGCCACTGCACCCAGCCTATAGTGACTTTCAAGAAATACTATTTATATCACATTTTTCATCAGGCAGTAAAGGCAAGTGATGAATCGGGAACAACCTTGCGACAATTTTGGAATAACATCTAACAAGGCTTTGCTGGATGTGAGGTTACAGCTGTCACCATGAATGGGGCTTGGAAGTACCTTTGCCCGCAGTTTATGATTTTCTTGGATCTGAGAAGGAGGGTGAGGAACCCAAAGAGTCTTCAGAAACTCAGTGACCCTCAGCGAGAGCTGGAGCCAGATATGCAAGAGGATGACTTCGCTGTGACCTCCTGGCTGGACAACACAAGGCGCTTACGAATGAAGACCTGACGGAATGGGCAGCGCAGAGAAAGGACAAAGAGAGACAGGAGGAAGAAGTAACTGAAGAACTGAAGAGATTCATGATGCAGGAGATGGCAAGGGGTTTTCTTTATCTAAGGAAGCACTGTTAGGTTTTGAGGCTCAGGACCCGAACATAGCACGATTCACGAAGTTGCACAGCTGTTCAGAATGCCATCCGGTGCCACCGTGTCACCTATGATGAGAAAAAAGAGCGACTACCCAGACATCACTGAATCGTTTTTTCAAGAGGGTAGATAGAATTGAACCCAGCAAGGAAGCAGAACCTGTGCCGCCAGCGTCAGGCATGAGTGACACTGCAGCTTGCCCATAGACTCCTGTTGCTGACGATCCTTTACCTCTGACACTTCCCACTCCTCTCCTCCCTCCAGTCAGGAACTCTTCTTGCCTGCCCACTCAATGCCAGTCCCCGGATGCCAGCTGTTGGACTGTACTGTTCTACTGTACTTTTCAAGGTACCAAACCGTAAGATTAAAAATGTTTTATTTTTTGTCTTTTATGTGTTATTTGTGCGAAAAGTATTATAAACCTATTATATTACAGTCCAGTACTATACAGCCAATTGTGTCAGTAGGGTACCTAGGCTAACTTGGCTGGACTTACAAATGTGCTCTGGAAATGAAACTCGCTTGTATGTAGGGGACTATAGTAAGTCCACATTCCTATTAGGCAGAGTGAAAAACTTTATGATACATGAGGCATTAGGTATTCAGGCACTCAGAAAGATAGTGCCTCAGCAGTAGGTCATATTAGCCCTAGACTAACGGCTGCTCCTGCTTAAGAAAGCTTAAAAGCAAGCCTCAAAAAGACCAGACTATTTATAAGTAACCTAACTGCATCTGAGAATAATTATCAGGGATACTTAAAGACATACAAATATACCTAGCAGCCAGTAACATAAAATTCTTAATGTCTGGCATCTAAGAAAAAATTACCAGCACACAAAGCAGAAAAATATCTCTAATTAGAAGAAAAAATATCAATCAATAAAATAGACCCAGAAATGATACAGATGATAGTTAGTAGACAAAGACATTAAAATAAGTGAAATATGCCATATGATCAACAAGGAAGAGGACATTTATAATCTGATGACTTATTTTTGACCAAAATTCCCCTTAAATTCCTATATGCTACCTATGGCTGTACTCCATTCAGTTTCTTGCAGTATATGTCTAATATTAGCCTTTGGCAATGAGTTAACACAATTCTAATATGGTCATAGGTAGTTAAAATATCAATTTTTTTTTAAATGGGGAAAGTATGAGCATGTTAAGGAGAGACATGGAAGATATGTTTTATTTTAAAAGGCCCAAATTTGAACTTCTAAAGATAAAAAAACAAAGACAATTCTGAGAGGGAAGATATACTGGATGGGATTAACAGCAAATTAGACATTGCAGAAGAAGAAAAATAGTGAACTTGAAAACATAGCAATAGAAAAATGAAACAAACGAAACTCAGGGGGAAAAAAAATGACCAAAAACCAAAACAATACTAAAGCCTCAGTGATTTATGGGACAACTTTGACCTAATAAAATATGCTGAAGTGATCCAAAAATATATTTAAAGAAATAATGGCTGAAAAATTTTCAGGAGGAAGAAAGGAACAGAGAGGGGAAGAGGGAGAGGAGGAGGGGGATACGTTACATTCAGGGAAACAAAGAATAACTTCTCAATGGTAGCAATAGAAGTCAGAAGACAATACAGAATCTTTAAAGTATTGGATGAAGAAAAAGCCCTGTCACTATAAAATTCTGTACCCAGCAACAATATCTTTCAAAAATGAACACAAGAAAAGACAAAGCTGAAAGAATTAATCACTAGCAGATATGCGCTACAAAAAATGTAAAGGAAGTTCTCCTGCCAGAAGTAAAATGATACTGGATGAATATTTGGATGTACACAAAGGAATGATGAGTACCAGACATTATAAATATGTAAGCAGACATAAAAAAAATGTCCTGACTTTAAAGATCTCTTTAAAAGATAATCGACTATTTAAGGCAAAAATGACAATAATGTTCTGTGTGGCTTAAAGACCTATGACAAAAATAACACAATAACTAATAAAGATAATATAAACTCATTAAAAATGCACAATTAATCCAACAGGAGAAAGAAAAAAGCGGAAAAAAAAAAAAGTGGGTCCACAAACAAGATCACGGTTTTAAACCCAACCTTATTAATAATATTAAATGTAAATGGTCAAAATAACAGTTAAAAGGGAGACATTGTCAGATCCAGTTAAATGCTACCAATAAGAAATAAACTTTAAATGTAAAGTCACAAGTAGGTTAAAAATAAAAGGCTAGAGAAAGATATACCATGCTAATACCAACCAAAGTTAAGTATAGTTTATTTTTTCCATCTACACCTCATTCATATTTCAATGCCATAAAACTCTGAGTTAGCTGTACTTACTGGAATTTAAGGGAGCAATCTTTTAACTACTTAGATAATTCTTTTAATATTCCAGTACTTAAAATGGTGCCTAGTACCTGATATAATGTGAATGGTAGCTATTTTTATTTATTTTTTTATAGAGACATGGTCTCACTCTGTCATCCAGGCTGGAGTGCAGTGATGCCATCAGAGCTCACTGCAACCTTGAACTCTTGGGCTCAAAGGACCCTCCCACCTCAGCCTCCCAGGTAGCTAGGACTACAGGCTCATGTCACTACCCCCAGCTAACTTTTCAATTCTTAAAAGTCATTTGGAAAAAGAATGACTCCATTGATAAGTGGAGTTAACCAGATTTAAGTCCTATGATATAAAATAAAATATGCTGTCTCTGTAATGTGATAACTTCCAGGAGGAGGGATATTTTGTGGTTGGCCTTTGTAAGCTAATAATAATGAAACTACAAATAGCATTTATATAGCATTTACTATGTGCCAGGCACAGTTCTGTGAGCTACTTTAAGCCTCTAATTGTGGCGATGACATCAACATGGATGCCACCAATTCCACCTACATTTTAGCAAAGTGTGTCATGGTAGGGGTAGAGGTTTATTAATTTCTATATCTCATGCCCTACCTTGAGCATTTTCTCATCAAAAATTGGAGTCACGGCATAAGGCATGATATAATTCTGAAGAGATTTAGAAGACAGAACAACTTTGCCTTCCATTAGTTGTTTTGCCAGTTTCTTCAAGGCTCTTGCTCTTCTGTGGATCTGAGTCAGACAAAATATGAATTAGTTACTGAATAATCTTACCTACAACCAGTTCTGTTTCGGTATCATGTTCTTTTTCCATGAAAACATTAAAGGAGTGAAATACAGTCCATGCATTACATGAGCAAACACCTGTGCCTTGATTTGCTTCCAGAGATATAAGCCATAGCATTTGTTTAACAACGGACTCAAAGCAATTACATTTCTTAGAAAAAGGCAGAGAAAGCTGACACTATAATTAATTGTGGTTTGTGATACCACCAAAGAAACCAGACTTCATGAAGGAAATAATCATTTTAATGCAAATTTGACTGATGATCAAGAAGACCAAGGAATGAGAAGCTTAAACCCTTTTGGGAAGTTAAAATAGGTCTTTTCAAATGGGGTAGAATTGTTCAAAATGCTTATTTTGTAGGTAGGAAAGGCAGAATCGTTTTCTACCTGAATGTGCTTCATGTTCTCAAAGAAGTCCATTTCTGGATCATGGCAATGAGTAAGCTGTACCAAGTCTTTAAATTCCAGTTGATCTGGAAAGGTTTGAATTAAACAGGAAAGTATTGTGGTATAATCCTGTTGAATACTCTGCAAATATCAAGAGGAGAAAAAGAATGTTTTTATTTTAAAAAGAATGTGCTTCCTAGATAAGATGAAGAAATAGAGACAAAGACATAAAAACTTTAAAAATATTTCTACTGTACGAAAAAAACAAACAATTATATAAAATCAAGTTAGTGCTCTTATTTCTAGTCCCACTCCCCTGCTAAAAGTTTGGTGACTATTTAAACAATCAAGTATTTTAATTAAATGTGCTAAGCCTGACTGCTACTCTACACAACAGTAGCAGAAGTGGGAAACAAAACAAGACACAACCTTGGACAGTGGTACTTAGAAGACAAAGTTATGATACCTCTGTCTGGCTCTTCAATCCTTTCCTCAGTTTCTCGAGGAGTGAACGATGGATGATTTCTCTATACTCCTTCTCTGTGACATTCAAGGCAGCCAGCTTTTTGATGATACTCATCAAGCACATGCTGGCATTATCACTTAAAGACATATCGCCTAACTGGGGAGGAAAAAAAAAAATTATCCTATGTAATAACTACAATATGGAATATAACTATCTAATTCAAGTGTCTACAAAATTTTGTCAATGCTTTTATAAAAATCCCTACTAGAAAGGTCCCACAAATGCCTCATGCCCAAGAGAGAACCAAATGTGGCGCTGTGAGGAATATAATATTGTACATGACTTTTAAAAATCACGCTTACTGAGAAGTACCATTTAATTTTAGGACATACTATGAAATATATTTGCTAATTGGTTTTACTTCCCAAAGCAAGCAGAATAAACATTCTGCACCAGGTTACCACTGAGAATGACAGAATGGCTGGTGTACTTTTGTTGGCTGCTCAAGGCTTTCCAGTTGGCGGAATAGTAAGTATCTTGATACTACTCCCAGGACAGCCAGACAGGCCATGACTTAGAATTCCTTGTGCTGAAATTTGACATGATGCATGGAGAATGAGCCCCAAATGAGAAGACTGCTTTTTGTAAATTACATAATCTGTAACATCCGATGAATAACTATAAAATGCCACAAAGAGATTACTGAGGCCATTACATGGTTTTAATAATCATCAAGGGTTTCATTTTCCGAATTTTTGGATTTTAATTCAGTTTAGCAGCATAGCACTTAATATAATCCAAGCATCTTTTATTTCTATCATATTTGCAATAACAAAGGGCAAACTTTCAAGTAATATAGTTATATTACTTTACAAAGTTGAGTTATAATTGGCCCACTATAAAATTCACCCAAAAGTGTACAATTCAATGCCTGAGTATATTCATAAGCTTGAGTAACCATCACCACTAATTTGAGAATATTTTCATAACCCCCCCAAAGAAACACCATACCTACTAAAAGTCAGTCCTGGACTGGATATGGTGGCTAACGCCTGTAATCCCAACACTTTGAGAGGCCAGGGTCAGAGAATCACTTGAGGCCAGGAGTTCAAGACCAGCCTGGGCAACATAGTGAGACTTCATCTTTACCAAAGGAAAAAAAAACAAAAACAAAGGCAGGCATGGTGGCACATGCCTGTAGCCCCAGCTAGTCCGGAAGCTAGATGGGAGGATCACTTGAGCCCAGGAGTTTGAAGCTGCAGTGAGCCAAGATCACATCACTGCATGCCAGCCTGGATGGAAGAGTGAGACCTTATCTCTAAAAAACCAAAAGAAAAAAAGTCACTCTCTATTCTAATACATAACTTTTTTGTTTTCCAAAGCACTCCCATATATATTATTCAAAACATTTGCCTTTCAAAACATGAGAATAAGTTATTTGCCAAACAAAAAATTCCGCAACTAGAGAAATTTTATCCTAAAAACCCTCGTCCCACCTCAAAAAAAAAATTAAGAAATTAGTTTGCTGTATTAGATAGCTGTGATACCAAAACAATAAAAAAATTTATTCATTTTTGCTATAAAAACCTACCTCCAGATTATAGAAACAATTATGCATGACTGGAATTATGTAGTTAACATCCACAGCTTGCATTTCTTTAACATAAGAGATGATAGTCTGGAAAGTTTCGAAGCGAATATCAAAGTTGATATCATCAAGATGTCTTTGATCAAAGGCGTTAAGCTACAAGAAATGCCATTGAAATTACATAAATGAAGGCACACAAATCTCAAAAAACCAAAAATGATAATGCTTTTGAAGCCAAAGAGAAATCTTTCTTACCTTGACAACGTCAGCAATGTATTTTAGTCCACTCTCAAAATCAGAAAGAGCCTGAAAGGAAGGAAGGCAGTATGTTTATCAGTGAATAAAACCTTAATGTTTCTGCCCTCCTCTCCTCAGCCCCATATTCACATAAAAACATCACATTGGCATGGAGAATGCTGCTCATATGCTTTACATGTCATAGCTATCTTTTAAAGAAAAGGATGATTTGGACTAAAAATGAGTATTACAGACCTGGAAAACTGTACAAAGCAATTTTCTCGACAATTTGTTCTTAATGATTGAAAAGAGTTTTGCTATAGGCTGGAGGAAGCTTGTAGGGTCCACACAATGTTTTAACAAGTTTTGCACGGCCACCAGAATATCAACCTCAGTAGCCTTGAGAAAAAAATGTTAGGGGAAAACATATTTCAGTAATTTGTAAAACCAATCACCTTGTACTTTAGTATATTACAGCATAGAAAATAATTAATCATGAATAAGAAGTAAAGGCAGTCATTGGAACAATTATTTCATAATCTTTTAAAAGGTTTTAGCATTTTTATCTTAACATAAAGCCCACAATAATGTGCACAATAGTTTCTTTTAAATTCTAATAGAGAATACACGTGGCTGTGAAACCTAATTTCTTCTATTGTCCAGTATAATAAGAGTCAACAACATGAGCTTGCTTTAGGAACGCACAGTTGTCCCTCAGTATCCAAAGAGGACTGTTTCCAGAATCCCAAGATACTAAACGCTGAGGATGCTCAAGTCCACGTATCAAGCAGCATAGTATTTGCATATAACCTACACACATCCTCCTACATACCCTAAATCATCTCTAAATTACTATAATACCTATGAATACTAGTGATACTATAACTTAAACACTATATAAATAATTGCACTATATTTTTTAAATTTTTAATTTTTTCCCCAAATACTTTCGATCTGCAGTTGGTTGAATTCACGGATGCAGAACCTGTGAATTCAGAGGGTCAACTATATATATTTCTTGTTGTCTACAGGCCAGTGGTCTTCTAAACCAACTATTTTGTGGTAAGAAAGGTTCAGAGGCTGGGTGTGGTAGCTCACACCTGTAATCCCAGTACTTTGGGAGGCTGAGGTGCGAGGACTGCTTGAGGCCAGGAGTTTGAGACCAGCCTAGACAACACAGTGAGACCTCGTTGCTATAAAAAACATTTTTTTTTGAATTGGGGTCTCACTGTGATCCAGGTTGGAGTGCAGTGGCATGAACACAACAATCATGGATCATAACAGCTTCGACTTCCTGGGTTCAGGTGATTCTTCCACCTCACTATCCTGAGTGGCTGGGGCTACAGGTGCATGCCACCAAGGCCAGCTAATTTTTTGAGGTTTCGCTAAGTTGCCCAGGTTGATCTTGAACTCCTGAGCCCAGGTAATCCTCCCACCTTGGCCTCCCAAAGTGCTAGGATTACAGGAGTGAGCCGCCACGCTGGCCTTCATCTCTACAAAATTTTCTTCTTTTAATTATTCAGGTGTGGTGGCAGGTGCCTGAAGTCCAGTTACTCGGGAGGCTGAGGTGGGAGGACTGCCTGAGCCCAGGAAGTTGAGGCTGCAGTGAGCTGTAATGGTGCCACTGCGCTCCAGTCTGGGCAACAAAGAGAGACCCTGATGCAAAAAAAAAAAAAAGAAAGAAAGAAAAAAGCTAAACAAAGGAAAACGAAGGGGCTAAGCCCTTGACTACTGTAAATGATGATGTCTCTACTTTCCTTCCTGACCCATTCTTATTTCTGTCCCAGTTTTGTCCCTCTACTTCTATTTTTAAATTTCGATATAAAGTCTTTTAAGTTCTTTGAGACAGATGGACCGCTGTTCAAAAGGAACCTAGTCGTCAAGTGCCACTCCACAGACAAAGTGATCGCCCCGCGCATCTGCACCTCAGCAATGTTGGCCCGGTGGAGGAAAGGAAGCAGGAGGGTGATGAGCAGAGAGCTTTGCTCCTTGTCTTTCATGAACTTGCTGATCCTAAAGAAAGAAAGACGGGTATGTCAGGAGTATACACAAGTTAAGAGTATTCCTCGAGAAGTTAAACTTCCTGAAGAAAACATCGGTGACGAAAGACACAGTTTTCACATTCCAGCACAGGGTGGCCTTCACCTGTGGGGGCAGGCATGCAGTCTCCTTCGTTACCTGGCAGGGCCCACTCTTGCTCCCCGCCAGCATCAAGCTCGTGGCCACCATTCTATTTCTTCTGCAATATCCGGTTGTGTTCACAGATGACAGTGAACTCCAGTGCTATCGTCTGGCAGGTAATTAGTAATTTCTTGTTTTGCAAAGAAATAACACTTTTAGGTGCCAAGACCTAAGGTGTTATGTACAACATTTCGACTTAATGCCCACACACAACGTGGCAATTATTATCGCTACTGTGCTAGGAGAAAAACTGAGAGAAGCTCAGAGAAGCTGATGTCACACAGCGAAGAAGCAGAGCAGGCCTTTCCAACGCTGGTCTTTCTGCTGACTAATTTCACTCAACACCCTCCCACCACCACGGAGCCTGTGATGAAATTTAACAGGTTTATTTCATGTGACTTCCCACTCTGGAATACAATAGCATAAATAAAACACGGCAGAGACGTTTGTAGAGGATCCTAATACATTACTTTCTATTGCTGGTGAAAATAACAGAAAAAATAACTTTTCAACAACTCTGCCCTGTAACGGTCAGTTTAAAATTTAAGATGGAACCGTTTACTAACCTTGTCCTTCACAGAGATCACAATTCTTAACTACCAGGTCTACTGCCTAATAGCCTCCTAAAAAAGCCTTGCAAGATCTTCTTGACTCTTTATAAAAAACAAACAAAACAATCTGCTCTTTTAGGCTAATTATTTTTATCAATTAAACTAAAATGCAAAAAACTGTGTGATCCACAAAACTTAAAACTTTAATTGCAGAAAATACACAAAGACTAAATGAGCAAATTTATTATTGTACTTTAGAATTCTGAAAAATCTGCACCCAATAATATAATTAAATAAAGGCAGATGCTATAGAAATTCTCTAATAATTATTCCAGCAGAAAAAGAATTCTTCATTAACTTAAAAATGGAGGGCATTTAAAATACTGAAACCTCTTTAAATTATTACCAGGTTTAAACAACTGAAAAGCAAACACTATTTAAAAAATTAAAACCAAGGATGGTAAAGTTAAATAAGTATCAGGATGTCCCTTACTTTGAAAGAATGCCAAGCTCTTTACTGACTTGTGCTCTATTCTTTTTCTTCTTCACCTTTTCTGTACTTATTGTGGTTTTGCTGAGATACTGAAGAATTGCAGGTACATGAGGTACAATTAATCTTCCTCCTATTGTGACAGACTCTGAAACAGATTGTGATTAAAGTTTTTATTTGAATACTCTTTTACAGCATAAATGTACAATAGCTTCATGATTACAGATGAGAAAAGCACTTAACTACCATGAGCATTTTCGACTCTAAACATTAAAAACTTTTTACTTAAAATAGCTGTGTCACTAGCTAAATTAAAAACTTATATAAGAGACTCCTGAGGCTTTAATTAAACAATTTGGTAATAGTAAGGGAATCACTGGGATAATACGGTAAGAAGAATTCAGAGACATGACAGTAGAAATCATGTGATAATTTCCTGGAGGATAGCTGAGACTTCCTAGAGAGTAGATAATCTATATTCCTATAACTGCAAAGAAAATTCAGTTTGTATAAATTAGTATTAATTCCCAGAGAAGAGAAACTTATGAGCATAAACTATCAAGATAGTCAAATTCTAACGACTTTTTCTTTTCTTAGAAAACAGTCACTGCCCCCGAAGCCTCAGCCTCATTTGCTCTGTCAGCACACATACATACCATCTGCGTTTTCTGCTATGTCAGGGTACACACACCCAGTAACCGGCAAGCTCAGAACCGTTTCTGTGGGCTCAAAATCTGGAAGGCTAAGAAGGTCATCAACTATATCCATTACCATGCTGGCTGCAGCATCAGAGAGGTTCTTTGCAGACAGAATTGCAAAAACATTGGTCAGGATATCATATTCTGGGTGCCCAGGCTTCTGTTTAGCCAGGAAAGGGAAATACCTGCAGGAAAAAATGTTGTAACAATCATCTTATTTCTCAATATGCTTCTTTCTAAAAACATATTCATATGAATTTTCACACTGGGTCTAACAAATGTTCATGCATACGTGTGTGAACATTAATTAATCACCATTAATTAATTAGATTACTCAAAAGGGGAATTACTTCAAAATCTAAAATCTGATGGATAATAATTCTAAGCACCTTACAAACATATTGTATAGGTGTTATATGTTTATTTCTCATTTAATCCATACAACATCTCTGTGCAGTAATATTATTATCCCCATATTACAGATGAAAAAATTGAGGCCTGTCCAAAGCCATGGAGCTAACAAGTAGTAGAGCTGAGATTTGAATCGCAGTCCAACTAAACTCTAAGTTGTTTCTGAAAGAAACTTATTGAAAACAGACTATTTTTCAATTATAAGCTTTCTTTGTGAATGTTTATATACTCACATAAAAATCTACGTATGTACTAGAACATGGAAGTTAGGAATGTAGACCAAACTCCTAACTAGATATTTGTTGTATCAGGAAATGCAACTTTCAGAAATTAGGATCATTTGCTGGGGACGTGGGATGAATCTACCAATAATGAAAGACTCACACCGAGTCAGTCATGTCCCTCCTCATGGAAACGTAGCAGCAAGGACAGAGAACACAAAGGCTTTTTGGCCAAGGGTAAAACCACAGCTGTTTATAGTCAGAGACACAATCCTAACAAGCAGGAAGGTCAAAATGAAACGAATTCAGATGGCTTGCCTTCATCAATCCATCACCACCGCACTAGAGCACTCAAGCGCTTTAACATACTTAGTATTGACACACGGACAGAAAAGTTCTAAGAGGTTATATTCATATGTCTTTCTGTCCAACAAATATTACACATACAGTTTGGGCAGGCTCTAAGCAACACATTTTATATATTATCACCCCTATTTGCAGTGATGCAGAAAATAACAATTATTTTCATTTTACAGGTGGTGAAACTGAGGTTTAAAGAGTCAACTTTATCTAAAGAACACAAAGTGCTGCTAGAATCTGAAGCTAGGTTTGTGTGGCTTCAGAGATGGTACTTTTAACTATGATGTCATCGTTTTGTTTTTAAACCTTTTCTAGCAGCTTGCAACCACTGACAATCTGAGCGAGGGCCCATTCAAATCCAGTGTAACTTGCAAGTGACTCAAGTGTTTTCTTGAACATTGTAACTTCCTGGCAGTGCAATAGGCATGCTCCGTGCTAATATGAATATGGCACAACCAGAAATTCCAGTCTCTTACTCAACATGTAATAAGAATCAACAGAACATGGATGAAGAGGCACAGTCCTCAATGGAAGAAGGTATAATCATAAATGAGAAATGGTCTCTGCCCCTGAGGAGCTGTGGGTAAATAAGTCATGAAAACAGATGAGTACAATAAAGACAGTATGTCATGACAGGGCCTTTCAGGAGGGAATGAGTTCAGAGCAGGGAGAGACTGAGCCATGCTTGGGGCCATGGTGATTAGAATCAGAGCAGCCAGGGGCCAGGGACAGTTCCAGCTTATGTTGGTCATTTTGCCTTAATTATTTACTGCATCTCTTTTCACTCTCAGAAATATTTCAGTTGGACAATAAATTAAATGATCACTCTGGTTAGTTAAGTTTTTGTTGTCCTGAATTCACCTAATTTCTGAGATAATTTAACCTTACTTGCAAGCTAGTAAAATGTTAGATCTCCCTACAGATGGAATTTCTGTTTCAATATCTGACTGACACTATGTAAGTATAACTATACTTCAAAATTGCAGAAGGGAATGAGGTGGCATCAATGATGCAGATCTACACCTTGAATAAGGACCAACTAATATAAAACTAAGTCTCTACTGTAAAATCTTCCTGGATGAAAGTTTGCCATGGCTTATTTGCATAAAAATTACACAACTTTAAAAAAATTTCTCAAGTATGCCTATGAACTGCTACTTATAAATGTTCAGTGATTAAAAAAAAAGATATGAAATTTCTGTGTCAAACTGGGAAATAAATGAGGAGCTGTTCACACTGGTAAAATAAATAAGTTTTCCTGAGGCAGACAATGTTATGGTTTTTGGTTTGCTTTTGAAGATTAGTGACATGGAAAAAATGTGCATGACATAATGATACATGAAAAACATAAAATCCAAAGCCAGTTATTCAGTGTGATCTCAATTTTATAAAAACCAAGGCTAGAATTTTAACATAATTGAATCAGTAATAAAACCTTTTCTGACCAGGAGAACCATATGTTTATTTAGATGGAGTTTTACAAAGACTAGAAGACAATGGTCTATAAAACCTAGAAAGTCTGTGGGTCTGTGAAATTTTTCTGATTTTAAGTGGGAACTACAAATAAGACACAGAATGACAATTATAAGCCAGCTTTCATTTTTAAGCAAGATGCAGAAAATGATAATATTTATGTGATGATATAACTATCTGGTGTGTTTCATACTGTTTCTCCCTCTACTGGGCCAAATCAAACTGCTGACACAATAATTACATACATTGGAAGAACATCCCTATCAATTCCAATACTTCTAGTTTTCATGTTATAATCAAACTGTAAAATTTACCAAAAAAAGTGTTAGTTTTCATGTAATACACACTCTCCAATTTTCATTTATGTTAATTGCAAGGTGTTATTTTGCCTATTTTTCCTTTTTTATTATTATAAATAATGCCCACATTCCAAAAAACGCACCAGGACAAGCCTCCTCTCCTCATTCTGGTCCACCCAAACTTCTATCTGCTGTGATGATGTCATAACAGTTTCTCACGTGTCCTTCTAGACATTTTCTATTTCACACTTAAATATACAGACACATGCTAAATGCATTTTTCCCGGACTATCCTATATACATTGTCTAGCAACTTGTATTTTTCTTTGAACTACGTATTTTGAGATCTTCCCATGCTTTTACTCCACTGTCTCATGCTCTATAGCCAATTCAAAGTAGTTCACTGTATGGAAAGACCATAAATTACATTAGCTCCTTTGACTAGATTCATCTAAAACACTGCCCTTTCTAAAGGAGAAAAAGAAAAGGTTGTACCTCGCATTTCTGCTCCAGATACTAATTAGCTTCAGCAGAGGAGTAGGAGAATACTGACTCTCAGATCCAAGCCTGGTGACCTAGGAAAAAAATAAAAACAGAATACCAAATAAAAACATATACAGAATCATAGAGAAAACAAAAACAGCAAACAAGCAGAACAAGCACAGAAATCTCCACAGAGGAGGGAAAAGCCAAGAACAGAAATTAATATTTAAATGACTGATCAAGGGGAAAAAAAGTGGACCCAAAATAGCATCTACACAGAACAAATGGCAAAACTGACAAAAGGAAGTGCCAGACACACAAAAGGAACCAGGCATTTTAGCTTCCAAAGGTCACAAATGACTGAGAGTTCACGCATCTAGAAATACTTCCTAAAACCTAGTCTCTCCTGCAATCTGTAGCTACACTAGTTACTATCACCAAGGGCTTACAGCTAGAGAAATCAAACAAGGAAATACAGAATAAAACACCTGCATATTTCCTCTCATGCTTGTGGAAAGCCAGAAGCAATGTTACAGGAGATGCTTTGAAAGTTATGTCACATTTCCTTCAGAGGCACACTCATATTCAAATTAGCTTTAAGTATAAACACCATGGGATCGGTGGAGGCAAAGAAAGGTGTTCTAAAAACCTCCAGAAATGAAGAAAGGTTTGATGTAAAAGAAAAGACCAGGACAAACATTCAAGTCTGGATGGAAGACTATGTCAGTGAAGTAACAATAAGGAAGGATGTTACCTGGGGCCAGACTGCACCATGAAACACAGCATCGATTTCTTCTGTTCTGAACTGATAGGATTCCCAATCCAAAAAGATATCAGTTACCATTTTGATTCCGAGACGTCTTAAATTTTTCAGTGGGTTAATAAATCTCAGTTGTATCTGTAAAACAAAGATCTTCTATTTTTAAAAAACCACATATATATATACACCATTTTTATCCCTGACTCCTCAGAGACACACTTATTCAAATGGTTAAGAACCAAACTGGAGATCCTGTTACTAAATCCGTTGGACTCACATGTGAACATCACTGAGCAAGTCGTATTATTTTTCTCATTGAACAAGAAAGGAAAGTAGACTGTCAGAAGAATCAAGTTGTGAGATGTGCTAGGAAAAGATACAATCACAACCAGAACAACTCTTTTGTATTCTATATTGTTTTACTTTATTCAAGTAATTATTAAAATAAAATCCTTTTCTTCTCATGAATAGAACATTCTACGCGAAACAAGCCCCCAATACAATACCATGGATTAGGATTCAAAAAAATTAAATCTTCATTTAAAATGAAAGTCACTTTTCTTTGTGTTTTCATACTTATATTATTATTGTTGTTATTTTACTCTTTTTAAGCCTAGAAGTCTTAAAATTAGTCTAGAGGACTAAAGAATGTAAAGTCTTTCCATATAGTCAAATACTTTGTATGGTAGAGAACGAGGTGATTGAATCAAGGCATGGGGAGATCTCAACACACATAATTCAAAGAGAAAAGCAATTTGAAAAAAAATATGATCTGTCTGCTTAGAGGCATGGAGGTTGAAGTGGGTCTAAATTAATAGCAAACTTTTAAAATGGCAAATATTGCTAATTTCACTGATATCTCCTTCCCTATGAATTATAAAATCACAAATATGTAGCCAATGTGCTCAGGTTCAGAGCAGAACAATTTATTGAGCCTCCACCCATGGGCCTGATGGCATTCCAGCCATACTCTCGACCTGAACTTAAAATCTTACTAAAGGCAAATTTATTGAATGTATATGAAGGACTGAAAATGAAAAGATATTCCCATAGGGGAGGTAGTACTATAAATTTGGAAAGGGTAAAGCTTCATGGAAGGAAGAGGCAGAATTTCCACTGAATACTAAACAGTGAAGAGGTATGGGCCAGGCAGAGAAGGAAAGGCCTCAGAGAGATTTCTCTCAAGCACAGAATGTTATCAAAACCAAACATATAGGGGAACAGTCAACCCTGATTGTTATCCCACTTGATTAATATGTTATGGGCTCTAGACATCTAAGTGGCAGCTATTTTTAAATATGACCTTAATTACCTAAAAAGTCTAATAAACATCTTGAAATGTCCGAAGACAATACAAATGCTCTCAATACGGTGAATATCAAGACAATACAAATGTTCGCAATATAGTGAATATCAAGTCTCATGGCCAAGAAATCATAAAGAAAACTAATAGGGAAGTTAATTATCATGAATATCTGATACTGTGATTAACAGAGATACCTGAATCTGAAACAGCACACTTTTTTTTTTTTGAGTTGGAGTCTCACTCTGTCGCTCAGGCTGGAGTGCAGTGGCATACTCATGGCCACCCCAGCAACGACCTGCTGTGCTCTGGAGATCTTTCTGCCTCAGTCTTCCAAGTAGCCAGAACTATGGATGCACACTACCACACCCGGCTAATTTTTAAAAAAATTTATTATAGAGTTGAGGTCTCGCCAAGTTGCTCAGGCTGGTCTTGAACCCGCAGTCTCAGGCAATCCACTCATCCCGGCGTCTCAAAGTGTTGGGATTACAGGCTGAGCCACCAAGCCCGGCCTGAAACAGCACACTTTAAATCCAAGTGAATATGAACAAGGATGCTATTAATTTGCCACACAAGCCTGAAGATCATGCTCTCTCACATACTGTCTACTCGTAGCTAATTATCTCATCATACAAATTACAAAGACAGAAGAAAGGACAGGTCAGCACAAGGTAACAGAGCTACAAATCATTCTGTTCTGCTTTAATTCTACGGACAATATTTGCATCATTAGCTGCACTGTGTTTGGTGAAAGATAAACACTACCACTGATATTTTAAAAATGTGGTGTCATGATCATCCGGGGCAAATAAAATAACACTTGCAGACATGGCACCAAAGAGACATGCCTAGCCTTCTCCCATCACATAGAATCTGTATCTTCTAGTCATTTCTGTAACCACATTGCCAACTGCCCAGTTTACAATCACTGAATAAACTGGAGGAAAACCCTGAAAGTGAGCAAAGTAGACTTTAATTCCTAGAGGAATAGTCAATATGATTGGGTGTATATACATTTACATAATGTACATAGGCGTTTACAATTATGCCACTGCTTAAATGTACAAAAAACCAAAACCAAACCAACAACTTTCATGACACATCTTCCAGTGCTGGTCAATGCTGTGAAGAGTACAAACGACCCAAAAAGTAAATGTATAAACTGAGCTCAAGCACATAAATGTAAAACTTTAACTCACTAAAGTAAATTACTGTGCAACAATTCATTATGGCACTCTAAGGCATTCCTTGGACATCTTCAAGAATTTCAAAAGAAAAAAATAAAAGGCCAGGCATGGTGGCTCCTGCCTTTAATCCCAGCACTTTGGGAGGTGGAGGCGCGAGGAGGAGGTGTGAGGACTGCCTGGGAGACCAGCCTGGGCAACAAGGTGAGACCTCGTCTCTACATCAAATTAAAAATAAGCCAGGTGTGGTGGTGCAAACCTGTAGTTCCACCCACGTGGAAGGCTGAGATGGAAGGATCGCCTGAGCCCAGCAGGTTGAGGCTGTGGTAGCCATGATTGTGCCACTGCACTCCAGCCTGAGCAACAGAGACTACAACGAAAGAAAGAAAGAGGGAGGGAGGGAAAGGGAGCTCCCATCTGTCAGCAAGCTTCACACTTCACTAACTAATGAACTGTGAAATTGCACAAATGATCCTTTGGGTTACTGATTATTGACCTGGGAGCAAGGCTGCATTACTGAGTAACTTCTTTGAAGTTAACCAAGATCCAAGATTAAGAAGGACTCACAGAAGCTTTCTAAAACCCTGAGTTTTTCACAAGTTATCATATCCATATAAGGGTGAGTCCCCACTGACTCTGAGGCATGAGCAAGATTCCCACTGATTCTTCCCATGCCTGACTGTCCCCACCCCTCCCTGCCCAATCACATACAGAAAGCGCTTTAAGAGCTTTTCAAGGCCTCTCTCCAGCTTCCACACTTGGCCTCCCACAGCTCCTTTCCACAAAGCAACTCAAGTAGTATTTTCCAACCCCTCAGAGTCCTTACCACGCCCCTGCTTCCAGCCTTTTGGGCTTCCCAGTACACTAAAAAAAAAAAAAAAAAAAAATCCAGCTCTTCACCACAGGCAACATGTCCTCAGAGCCACCCCAGTTACCTCTGGAACCTCACTCTGCATGACCTTCCTGCTCAGCGTGCTGCTCTATTGCTGCCTCGTCTATCCTTAGCACATGCCAAGACTGTTCCCACCTCAGGGACCTTGCAATAGTAACTTTCTTTGCCTGAAAAGTTCTTCCAGTGGTACGTCTAAGCTCAAATACCACTTCCTTAGAGAGAACCCTGACCTCCCTAGTTAAAAGCAGCACCTATCCACCGCATACTGGTTACTTCCTAACACATTTGTCATTTTGTGTTAAATGCTTCACATCTTCCATGTCTCTCCTTAAAATGCTCATGATTCTCTTCTGTTTCCCTGAATACATGATGTGTTTTGATAATAGCTATTTTAATGTCCTTGTCTAATTCCAGCATTGGTGTCACTTCTGGGTCTGCTTCTATCGATTGCTTTTTCTCCTTATTATGGGTAAAATTTTCCTCATTCTTTGCATGCCTGGTAGTATCTGACTGGATATTGACATTATTAATTTTATTTTCATTTAAATCAGTTAAGAGATTTGGACTTTGTTCTGGGATGCAGCTAATCTATTTGGAAGAAGTCTGACCTTTTTAAGTTCTGACATGTGTGCCTCAGCCTCTATTCTGGGGCTAACTTGCCTCCCTGCTGAGGCAATTTTCTTCCAAAGATGCTTACTGATGCCCCATGGATTACAGGTTTCTATCTGGTTGCTGGGAACATGGGCTGTTTCCAGCTCTGTCTTATTCTGAGGATGGTTCTGTTTGCTCCTTTCTGGTGATTTCCACCAAGATGAAGTCAGAGGCACTGGATTTACTCTCCTCTCGTAAGGAAATAAGAAACTGAACAAAATACATAAACACCAGTTTTCAGACACTGGATATCAGGTAGCAGAGAACAGCAATCCCTGAGAGAAGGAAAACAAACGAAACGAGCCCACAACTCCCCCAGTTGACTGCCTGTAGAGTCTGCAGGACTCAGGGCAGGGAGAAGAAGCAGGCAGTCTAGCAACCCATGAAGATACAAGAGTCTGGGCAGCCTGGGAGGTGAGGGCGGCTAGAACTTCCAGGGCAGAAGCCAGGAGAGAGACTCAAGTCACACACAGAGCAGGTCTCAGCAATCTACAGAGGGGTCTCCTCTCAGAACTCATGACCCCTGGCATCATACTGCTTCTGTGTGTACTTATTATTTTTCTTCTCATGATACTGAGTCTTTTCATGTCTCATTCGCCACCCAAAACAACGCCTATAGCACATAGTAGGTGCTCAATAAATATTTACTGAACAAATATATGAACCGAAGCTTGTGTTTGCCTTGTTTGCTGTCTGGTCTCAGTGCCTGACATATAGTTCAGGCTCAGTTCGTTGAAGGAATGACAGAAAGAATGAAGAAAACAGCAGTGCCAACCAAAATGGAAGGAGTGTTCTTAATCTCTGGATTTTGGTAATGAGATAAGATCATTTCGCTCCTAAAGCAGATTTATACCCTTGCATAGCCAAAAAGCAGCCTAAAATTTTGACTGTCAATTTTCACTTATCATGACCATATTTAGAAAGGCACTGCCCTGGGCATATTCATAAATCACAGAAAATGAATTTTAGCCAAATTAAAACTCTGCCCATTTGTCATTAACTGTGAGTCAACAGCAGAAATCTGAGTCCAGATCTTTACTTCATTTTTTCCAAGAAGCCTCCAGTTCATAAAGATATTACAGACTGTTTCTCTAAACTCTGACAAGTATACTCCTGTCCACGGGCCTTTCTCAACAGAACATGAACAAACTATTTTGAACACAATCAGAACTTCTCCCGAGCACACTGGCAGCCAGTCTGTGCTGCCTGAGCTACTGGCAGCCAGTCTGTCCTGCCTGAGCTTGCCGCTTGATCTACTGAGAACACAGCACTTACTGCAGGTAAACATTCACCTGTTAGAGTTCCAGGCAACTCTGTCTTAAAAGAACAAGGATGACGGCACCAGTGGTCTATTCATTCCCAAACAATTCTGGAGAAATCAGAGTTGCAAGAGACCTTACACCTCTAGGCTCCCAGGATTAAATTCAGCTCAAACACTCTGACCTGGCTTTCTGAGAAACAGGCAGAACTAACCCACTCACTACTCTTCTACCTCCTTTGAATATATATTCTTGGTACAATTTGCATTTTCTAGTCATAAGTAAACATTTACAACAATGAAGATTCCCATTAAATGGAAGTTAACGAAACACTTTCAAAAGATTACATAAGAAGGATTTAACCTCCAAGAATGTTTGCAATTCAGGCCCAACCCAATTCCCAGTAAAACACAGACCTCTATTAGCCAAGAAGAAAGTATCTCTTGTGACTCTCTCACCTTTTCTCGTTGGTCAAGGATGTGTGATATGGTTGCTGTCATACAAAGCAGTATTTGCAAAATCTTCGGCAGGTACGCACTGATCAGATGACTAATGTTCTTTAATACTATTCCAAGGCTATTCAAGATACCATGCTGACGGCCCAGAGGAAGAACTTTAGACAAATCCAGATTTTCTACGGCTTGAATGACCGCAGAATGGCACTCCCCTAGTGAAACAAAGAGGAAGAGATGCCAAGAAAGTGAATTTTTAGTTTGTTACTACAGTTCCTTTCAATATCCCTATTGTTATAATAATTTATTGGTGACAATGTATTTTTCTCATATATCTCCTTTTGATTCTTACCAAATGCTCAACGAGGTAGGTAAAGTGGGTTTTACTATTTCCACTTTAGAGATGAGAAGACTAAGGAATAAAGAACTAAGTCTCTAAACCCAGTTCTCATCCAGCTTCTTTATCCTACTCCTCAAAACCTGAGTTACTAATAGTCTTTTATTTCATCTGGTAACTTCCCATTCATTTTTCTTTTTTCAGCTTTCACTGAGCTATGCTGAGTTCAGCAGTTTCATGGAAACTGCCTACGCATTATAAACTCCTTGAAGGCTAAGAATCAAATGTTTTATTTATTTTGTAGCCCCGGTCAATAAATACAACAACAGTCCCTTATAAATAGCTATAGCCATATTGATTTCAGAATTTACTGAAAAGATTTGAACAGTTATTGCTTGAGCTTTACTTCAAGCTGTCCAGCGTGAACTTAGGAACTTATTGACTCATACACCTAAACAGGCCACCCATAAGAGTAGCTTTTACATATTCCCTCTCACAGTGGGGCTATCCATGGAATGAAAACATGTGTACTGATTAGAGCCAACCTCCTTCCAGGGTAACATACAGGATGAAAACCTACATAACAAACTGAACCAATTATCGTGAGAAAAATGCAAAACAAATGTCACAGGCCACCCTATGAGTACATCTCTATGTTTGGCTAAAGCAAAGCAATTGTGGGACTAGAGTAAAGCCTTTGAAGTCAGAAAGGTCTGGGTTAAAATCCTAACTCAGTTTTCAGCTGAGTGGCCAAGCGCAAACTACTTACTGTTCTAAGCCTAAGTGTCCTCATTTGTAAAATGGGGCAGAGAAGTAACCATAGCTCATGTGGTTGGTTGTTGGGAGGATTAACTGAGTTGCATGTAAATGAACCTGCCATGATGTCTGGCATAAAGTAAACATTCAGTAAACATTAGCCATTATTATTAATAGTTCCTACACTGCATACCAGAAAACATAGCCCAGAGCATTCCAGGTCATCATATACACAATTACATCCACTTCCTCTTGACTGTGAGGTTGAGAGCAAAGATTATACATTTATTTTTCTATTTTCACCTTCACAGGCACAGCATGTATTCAACAAATCAGTTTTCAATAGATGAATGACTCAGTGAACGAATAAATGCCAAAACAAATACGATTAATTTTGCAGTATGCTTTGAATTTGTTAGAAGAAACACATTCTTTGTACTATGTGGATAAGTATTCACTATTTTTGCCTAATGCAAAACAACACACATTTTCTAATCAAAGCTGAGAACAAACTGCACTTCAGCAAAAAGACCACTCTTGAGGTCAGGAAAACAGCCCCGCCAGAAGAAAGCTCAGGGTGTAGGAAACCTCTCCCGGGACTTGCGAAGTCTACCACTGACCCCATGCGTTCTGAGGGCAGGTAGCTGACAGTTACCATCCTTGAAGTGCTTCACAGGTTCAAAGAGCAGGTCTAGGAATATTTGGATCTCCTCTGGCTGGGTCCCAGCCAGGAACCGCAGGACAATGGTCATGCGAGTACCTGACGCAGATTTCCCCTGAGTCTTACTCCCAGTCTTATTCTTCATTCGCCCATACAAAATTCTGAAAAGCCAAAAGAACATTATTGGTTTGCACATTCACGAAAGCATAATACGAGTTGCTTTGATTTCCTAAAAGGCTGGAAGAGCAACGTAATAGACTTAAATGAATATATTATAAAACACAGAAGAATGAAGTTATCAAATGTTTTACATCGACATTGCAATCCAATCAAGAAAAAAACAAAAATGAGAATATACAGATTAAAAGGAAATAAAACAGGAGAATACAATTATAAATGAAATATGGAAACTGGAAAGACTTCAACTAAATAGCTGATCTTCAGGATTAAAAACTCATAAACAAGCACAAGGATCATAAGAAGAAAACCCAAATAGACCAATAGTCATTGGGAAGCATAACTATTTAAACTTTCAGGGAAAAAAATAATTTCCATGCTATGACATCTCATAGTGAGAAAACAGCAGAAATAGTTCTTTTTGTTTATGAAGGTAGTGTTAACTGGGATGTTGAAAGGGTTAATGAACTAAGAGACAGTTACAGACCAATCTTGCTTATAAACATATGACACAACCTTTCTTTTTTTTTTTTTGAGTTGGAGTCTCACTCTATCGCCCAGACTGGAGTGCAGTAGCTG